CGGCAATACTTAGCGAGAGGCTAGGGGCTAGGACAGGACCAGGCCTTGCCCTTCCCCGAGTCCCATGAGGCGGCATTCCCCTGCTTTGATTACCTTGTCGTCTATTGGCTGGACTGTTTTAACCGGTCATGATTATTCTAGGGCCGTCCTGGTAGATAAGTGCCTAAGGTTTGGGTTCGAAGTGGACTCTGTGGGGTCTGTTATCAACTCTTTCGCTCGTCATTACTTCATTTCTTATCGCGGCATTTTCTGCCTCGTTTCTTGAGTCATGTTAGAGCAGTGACCAACCAAAGATAACACAAAACTAATAGAACACTCGCCATAACAGACGAGCTGCTTAGTTATCGATGATTCGATTGTTGGGCAAAGCCTTGCCATTGTCTAACAGGATACTTTTCTGTCACCGGGAGAGTGTTTCCGGCAAGGGTGACAATGACAGCCCCATCTGCATGGGTCATGTCCATAAGCCCCAGTCTGATAGCGATGGAGTCGATGGTGGAGAAGACATCTGGGGTTCGCGAAGCGAGGCAAGGGAATAGCACGGATATCGACAGGTCATATTGAAAACCATTGACATGTTGAGATGAAATACGGGCGGCGAAAGTAAAGCCAGGCATACACAAGTAAACTTGATACAGGGCTGAGACATGGCTGTTGATACTAAGCCAAGATTCTACTGCTTGTGAAAGTGAAATCTCATGATTCTATCTGATTTATCAATTCTATTTCCTCCCCATGGCTCTTTCAATCTCGACTAGCGCGGCGAGAACCTTCTCGTCATGCTGCCTTTTTCCAACAACTTGGAGACTAATGGGAGCATCTTGGTACGTCTCGGGATCATAGAGATCATACACAAATTTGTCCTGGTCGTTCTTGGGCGTGTAAGTAGCGTCCTTGGGATCTTTGGCCGCGTCAACTGTGGTGACAGGAAAGACAGCCGAGGGGTAATCCAAAAGATTCCACTGTGCTGTATAGCCCCAGTAACGAGAGTTTCCATGAGTAGATGCCGCACCGAAATAAGGCGGGCATATGATCACGTCGACCTCCTTCCCATCAGCGTTCCTGCTATCCCGCCACGCTTTGGCATATCTCGCACGATACTCATCTCGTTGACAACACAACTGAAAAATGGATTAGTGTGACCAAACGTCCTATATATTCAAGGGCTGTCAAACTCACCTTCCACAGCTCATGTTGTGTTAGTTCCTTTACCGTAGGCTGTTCAAGTATAATCCACTTTGTAAGGTCCATAAGGGGCTCTCCATCGTCTTCGATCAAGCTCAAGACCTCCTTGCCGCCATCTGGCCAGTAAAGAGCCGATAACAGATCCCAGGCTCCTTTGTGGTCAAGGGGTTCGCAATCCCAGTCGACAACCGTCATGCCCGATTTCCTGCAGGCATCCGCGACCTCCCGCAACGCCCGAGTCATTGGTGGATGAGGCTGGACAACCCCATCCCACCACTGTATGGCAACTTTGAGAGGCTGTGTGAACTTGTGCGGTATCCATTCCTTAACGGTAATAGACGGGTCAATGTTCCAGGGCTCAGCTCCAACAGCAACTTTCATGAAGAGCTCTAGAGCATCACGGTCTACTGCCATGGGACCGGGGCAACCAGGAATTGTCTCTCTTCCGCCATTAGCAGCTCGTAATCCTGTTGTTGCGATTCGCTTAGCGCTAGGTCTAAGAATATTCGGTTAGAAAGGATCTACCTGCTTCTTTGGCACATGGCTCCGTTCCACAGATGGCGGGATCATTGCAAACTCACTTAAAACCATACACACCGACATGGGCGGCTGGACAACGAATGCTCCCTCCAATATCTGAGCCAACACCCTATGTTTTATTAGCGTCGCTCTTGTTTGCCACAGAGGTTGATGAGATTTTGCAAAGACTTACCAAGATGCTCCCGCGCAAGCCCAGAAGCGCAGACTCTCCACCGCTGCTACCACCAGGGGTAAGATCTCGGTTGTACGGGTTAGTTGTTCGTCCGTAGATGGGGCTCTCCGTCTCCAGATGCATGATAGCCTGAGGCTGCGTAGTTCTAGCATAGAAAACACAGCCCTCTTCCCAGAACGTATCGTACAGGAGGTTGGACCCGTGCGGCTTCCCGATCCAGGCTCCAAATGAAGCCGATGTGGTGACGTTGGGTCCAACCATACCCTGATGCTCTTTGGCGGAAATCGGTAAACCAAACAGCGCGCCCTTTGGTTCGGGGAGAGAGTCCAAATGCTTTGCACGACCAATTGCTTCATCCCACATAAGCTCAATCAGACAGTTTGTCTAGTAGGAAAGTTGTCAGCCCTTCAGTTACTTTCTTCTTTGAGAGTTTCGATAGAAATCATACCGTAACATGGGCTAACGCAGCTCGCCGCAAAAATGCCCTGGTGACCTCCTCCACCGATAACGCTCTCTCCTTTAGCGCAGACAGAAGCTCGGTTATGGTGTATTTTTCTGTGATCTCAATCTCTTTCGAAGTTAATACAGCCTTGGGTAGGTCCTGGCTGCTCAGAGGCAGCTCAGCGGGCAGACCCTCCAACTTGGGCTCGACCTTGGCGACAGAGGCATCTCGCTTAGCCCTAGCCCAGTTTGCCTTATCCTCAAACGAGGTGTAAGGGCAGATGCTGGTCATTTTGAAAATGCGATCAGATTCAGTTGCTTCTTGTTCTATCACAAGCCAGCGAATAACAGTAAGAAAATACACACTACGATGTATTCGAATTCCGCCGCCAATAGTACAGAGTTGGTAATGCAAAGAACCGAGAGTAATCAATAAATATCCCCTCCTGTAAACCGTTCCCCTCCCCACTAACATGAATCGTGTGATAGGCGAACCCACCACCGGGTCCACGATCCCACCCTTTCTATCATGGCGAGCGTTATCAGCGAAATAATTACCTCTGAGCTAGCCACTTACAGCAGTCTGGGGAAGGGCAATACCTAGCGACGCATATCGTTGTCCCCGCAGGTGCAGTGATGAGATGATTACGGTTTTCTTATCATAGTTAGCCAGATCTATCGAGAGTTGGCAGCTCGGTTTGCCTCAGTCAAATGACCCAATTGGCGCCGGGCGCAGGTCAGTCTGCTCTATCTGATAGGGGCTGGCCAGCGCAATGAGGAATTGGTTAGTGGTTTGTTGCCGGGCAAACAGCGACCGAATCAGCAACGTACAGGGGGCGCTACGCTAAAGTACAGTGAACATAGTAATCTCTAGCGGCAGTCGCCGCGAAATTTGGTGAAAGGCGATTTCCCACACATTTTCATCATCCCTTGTGAAATTAAGAAAGAAAAAAAAAGAAAAGAAAAAAGAGAAGGAAAGAAGAGGAAGAAGAAATTAAACAAAAATAAACAGCAACTCATTGTGATTGAACTCAAGTCTTGTTGTGAGTGATACCGTATCAAAAATACCGAGACCTCATTCCAGCAGGACTCAACCGTCAGTCACCTTGGGAGAATGTGTTGAGTTGACAAGTAGGGCTCTCAAGGTTTCCCATTAATGAGCAAGCGCAACAACAGCAAATGAATTTCAGCCTCGGTCTGGTCTAATTTTGTTTGATACATATGGATTTTTTCAATAGAATAGAAATTCATTTCGTTGAAACTTTGATGTCATTACCCAGTGTGCACCTTCATCGGTATAGGGTAGTGTAATCAGGTGGATCCACCTAAATTTCCCTTCGCGAATGAACAGCAAGGTGGATGTGGCTGCTTAGCAGCCTTCGTGATGGCCTCAACCTTGCGTTCCTATGTTTAAATGTTTCTATATTCAGATCTATCGAACGGATCGTCAATAGTCAACTTCGTGAGCCCTTAATAATGTGTAGGTTTGCTCTTGGGTGACTGGATTGATTGACTGGGAGCCCTGCAGGCTCTGCTAAATGATGTAATTTCAATTGCTGACCTAATCACATATCAAGCCACTCAACGCGTCGACGCGTCGGTGCGCGGGCCCCTGAGAATCCAGCATCAAACTGAGGACTGCCATCATCAAACGCAGCCAAGCAGCCTCTACCACCACTCCAGAGCTGTTTGGCGTTCCAATATTGACAACCATGGGTCCCCTAGCACCTAATACCTCATCGGCATATGACACCCCCGAAAGCGCCTGGAGAGCTGCCGATGACTTCGCCTTTCAGCAGGGCTACGCCCTTTCTGAGCCTATACCTAGTTTATTTGGTACACGAGATAGCAAGATGCTGTTCTGTCACAGAGGTTGCGATACAATCTTTCCAGATGGGATGGACGCAGATGTGCCCTTCCATCCAGAATGGTACTTTGAGGATCCGTGTCCATTTAGCATGAGCCTTGTCAACTATTGCTTCGATTCTTCGAAAAAACCAATATGGAGGCTCTCCGCTGGCCGCTCACCGCACACGCATGGCCCACGGGATCTCTTACACCTCTGCAAGATTCGCCACCCAAACTTTGAGCAGAAGCATATTGATCTCATTCGGGAAGAGTTTGCCCAGGGCAGCTGTGATGAATACATACTGGAACTCATCAGAGAGCATTTCACCCGGACCCTGTCTTGTTACGTGATATTAGCAGCGTCACAAACAAGTTCAGGTTTGAATCGGGCGGACTGTTTACATTCATCCGGGAGCTTGACGACCATCTCATCGAAACTGGCGCAGTTCATCACACGAGACAGGACGAAAGAAATCGGCCGGATTCCAAGCTCTTCATGCTTGGTTCGGAAGACCCGTCAGAACTTGCGATGGGGAAAGGCTTCTTTTAGCTGGTGCTCATCAATGTCACGCAGCACGCCAGTCAAAGCTGGAAGTTGGTGGAGATAAATGGTTACACAGCACGGGGGACCACCTTTCCTGTCGCCGTCGCCGTCACAACTTCAGAAGATGCCTCTTTTTACCGGTGGCTCATAGAACGATTTTCGGAATTCAGGGGTCCAGAACGTCAACCCACGGTGATCATCTCCAACATCGACCCGGATGTTGCTGATACTTTTAAATAGCACCTCCCTGATTCCAAAATACAGCTGTGCATGTCTCATCTTTCAAAAGATATCTTGAGAGTCGTGAAGCAGCTCTGGAAAGGCGCGAAAGGCAAGGGGGCTCTCATGAAACAGGCCGACCTGGCCAAAGAGGATAAGATTGTGCCACGCGAGGAGAATCAAGAACGCGGGCGAAACGACTTTCTGATGGCTTGGAAGCGTACTGTATTCGCTCCTTCGGTTGCCGAGTTTGAAGATGCGTGGGAGCATCTGCAGACTGACTTTGCTGCCCAGACCGGTGAGTGCCACTTATCGAAATTATGGTGTCGACATCCCAACCCCAAAGGGAGGCTTTCAGTCCAAAGCGCGAAGTTATTTCCAGACCCCAGTCCCCAATCTTCTCACTTTGGCTCAGGAGGCATCGGAACAACGCGAGTATATGACCCATGAATACGCCGCGAGAGCAGCAATGGAGGGGAATCGTCACAAAACGAAGATCTGGGCTGGTGAGTTTCTCCGAGACATTCAGGACTTCGTCTCGGAAAAGGGAATCGATATGGCCTATGAGCAGTATTGTCTGGCGAGTGCCTCTTTGATTGATCCTGTTGGGGGACCCCTCAAACCTTGTACGAGAAAAGAATTTATGGACCCAGCATGGAATTCCATGTGCTCATACACTGAGCTTAATGCTGCAAGTTGACCGCACGTCAGGCGCACCCGTGGTCACTGCACGGGAGCGGCTCTCCCATGAAGTCTTCGATGCCTTTTGGTATGGCCATAGATCAATTGTGAGAATCTTTCATTGTGCTTGTATCCTGCAAGAGTTTCTATTGACCACGCTTATGTAGTACGCACCCCGCCGCGAAAAATCGACAGTCTCGCGATTGCGCATAGCATCGTCTCAAGTATCCGACGATCCAGCTGATGTTGCACAAGATCGAGCAAACAGTGGACTACAGACCCAGCCTACGCCCTCACCCACGTCGCGCAGCTCCTCGAGATCACCTGGGAGACCTACCCCCGAACCATCCAATCGACCTCAACCCAGGCAGACTTGGAATAGGCCCCAGCCTGCTGGTTCTCACTGGATGGAGCCTATTGACCTTACTTCCCCGCCACGTCATGTTCAGCGGAGAGAGCCATCGACTGGGCTACAGACAGCCATAACACACAATCAGAATCCCCGACAATCCGTGGCCTCCGACCCTGCCCTCCGAGAAACGGTTGCTGGTATGCTTCCTGGCCTGCTCAAGGAGTTCTTGACCCGACCAACAGAACAAGTCATGAATGACCTCACTCCTGGTTGGTCTCCCCATGGTGAGCAACGGGGATCCAAACGGCCCTGGCCAACTGCTGAATTTGCCGCCCACCCGTCACAATCGGCATGGGGGCCGCAACCACCCTACGCTCCTGTACCAGTACCCGGTCAGCCGTCTGGTGTGGGAAGCGCTACATCTGACAGGGAAGCGGTTGGGCAAGTCGTCACAGAGGAACTGGAGCGGCTGTTCCCATCTATGAAACGCACCCGCGTGGATTACGGCCAGCACTCACAATATAATCGAATTTAAATGTACAGGATAAGGAATTTTTACCGGGAAAAATTGGGAAATAGCGCTTGTTTTTTGGAGTTTGGTTTCTAGCTTCCGCTTATTCGGGGGAGAGATGCCCGAAGCAACATTTTGTATATCACTCGGGTCTCGGTTATTAGGGAATATACTTGGACATTGTACAAACCATCCATTACCTTTGAAATGCGCCTATTGATTCCACACCTCGCCAGTCATTCATTAAGCGAACAAACAATGCAACGTGACACCTCTGGTGGACCCCAAAGGCTGATGTGAGGCGTTCACAAGGCGACAGTTGCTTGACTGATTGTCGTTCTGGGTCAGTTGCAATTTCTGGTAGTTGCAAATGCTGCAAATATCACGCGCATTCTCTATCTATAAGTAAGATCCAGCCGTAATGCCATATTTAGCTAACAAACGAATCAATAAATACAAAAAGGCTGTAGCCAAGAAGTAGAGCACGTACTTGTGTATGGCCAAAATTGTGTGTGTGCGTGCTTCCTGTGATAGTGATATATCAAGGGTCTGTTGCATGACAGTTAGCTGAATTTCCATTGTCCCAACACATCCCAATAGGAACGCCATATCACCAACAGTTCACAATAATAGGCAGCCACACGACTGCTTTGGGCAGCAAACTTTGTAGCACCGATCTATCGAGTCCTCTCAAGTAACAGCAGCGGCATTCAGATTGAGACGAGATGCTTAAGAGTAAAGGGGTTACGGATTGCCTATCACTTGTAGCTGGGTGGCAGGTAATATCTTCACTTCTGTAATTCCGAGAATAATAGCTGTAATTCCACAAGTGCTACCCTTCAGAACATGCTTTCGGTAAACATCCTGGCGGATGTGGCGGTATTATCTGTTGGTTGCGCGGTTGGTATAAGCGCGTACAACTGTGAAGGGGCAATGCTACAAAAGCCCTTAAGCGCCCTCGATTTCTTGCCCGACCCCTCTTCATATTCCTTCTGAATTTCAATCTACCCGAGAACCAACCAAAGTGGCGAATTCACCAAATCCACCTGTCCGAGTCAAACGCGATGATGGCGACGTTTCTAAACCTCCCAAATGAAGTGATCTATCTTATCTTGGATTTCGTTCCCAAGCGAACTCTCCTGAAAGTCTGTTTGGTTAACAAAGCCCTTTGCTCTTATTGCGAGCCGTCCATCTATTCCAACATAGGCTTTCATTGGGATCATCGGCGCCGACCCCCCATCATCGAACTGCTCCAGACTCTCATGAGGAGACCAGAGTTGTTTGCCTACATCGATACACTTTCGCTAGAGGGGCACGACCATTACAGTCTTGAGCCTATTCCTCTGCAGGATTCGCAAGTCGCCGACGCATTCTGGGACTTCGCGCCGATCATAAGAACATTCAATGTGCCGTTTATCAATCAGTGGGTGCAGGAGCTGTGGGCAGGCAGTATGGGCGCGTTTGCTGCCTTATTGCTTGCCCGTCTCTCCTGGGCGACCCATCTCACCATCACTTACAACTTTGTCCGAAAGACGGACCTGATCGGAAAGGTTCTCCAGGCGAAAGTACTCGGCCGGCTCCCCAGATTCCAGCGGCTTGAACATATGGTCTATGTACATGGTGTGGAGTACTTCGTGAACTCTCCAGAACAAAGGTCCAAGGATGGGATGGCTCTCTTTTACCTGCCCATGGTCACAAACCTAGCCGTCTGGGTGAGGAACCCTGCGGTTTTCCGCTGGCCGGATGGGAAGCCTAATCTAGACCGCCTGACATCACTTGATATTGAAGGCTGCTGCCCAACCTTTGTGGCCAAAATACTGGCTCTCACACCTAATCTGAGGTCACTTGCTTGGGCATGGCACTATTCATACAACACTGGCGATCCATGGATCACGAGAAGCCTAAACTTGGAGGAAATCATCACGACACTGTCGCCTGTCCGGGAGACCTTGAAGAGGTTCCAGTTCCGGATATGCATCGTCAGCGGCTACTCGTCCGAGTTTGACCCGACGATATGCGTCTCGGGATCTTTCGAGGGCCTCGTCCATTTTGACCGGATAACCCACCTCGATGTGCCGTTGGTGTGCCTTGCGGGTTTTGGACCGGGGCCTGAGTCGCTGAGCCGCCATGTCCCTCGCAGCGTCGAGGCGCTTTCTCTCTCGACCGCGATGCTGTTTGATAAGGCGCTGCCCTGGATGCAAGATGAAGATGAGGAGTGGCCGGACCAGGAGGTCATGGACCTGCTCCTGGACTTGGACAGAAGCTATCATGCCAGGCTACCGCGGCTGCGGCACATCAGTATTACTGATGAGATTGATAGCTTGGACATCAATGGCCTCGATCATATGTTGGAGGAGACACCTATGAGTGTAAATGTTGATATTATTCGGAGGAACTTACGGCATTGGCACGACTGGCTTTAGCTCTCTTTGCAAATCAAATCAATTCACTTGATAAATGAGGAAGTCAATGGGAAATTGAATGGCACGCTGTGGAATCCGCTTTCGAGTTCTGAGTTTTAGATGAAGTAATTTGTAATTGAACATGGTAAATGTCTAGAAGTCTAAAAGACTGATGGCTGTAAAGCGATTGATAAATCTAGATGCAAAGGGGGCAACAACACAAATTCCAAAACAAAAGAAATCCCCCTGTTTAATCAAGCAACCTCCATAGTAATACAGTGTAGCTTTCACCCCCTATCAAATACTCTCCGGTATCAAAATCGTTCGAGGCGCTTATTTAGAGATAGGCTTGCGAACGCCGGACTTCTTGACCTGGTTCTTGAACTTGACGAAAGGAAGGACTCGGCTGACGGCGCCCTTGAGGTTGCCCTTGGTCTGGTGTCCGGCGTACTTGACCTGCTTGACGGCCTTCTTGGCGGCGTCACCAGGGTTGCGGCGGGCAATGGCGACCAGCTGGTCGTCGTCGAGGCTTCGGAGGAAGTTGGCAACCAGCTCCTCGTCGCCGTCGTAGACGTCGCGCTCGTAGACGTCGTCGTTGTAAGACTCAACGTCGCGGGCGTAGTTGTAGTTGTTGTATGAGGAGGCGACGGCGGTGGTGGCCAGGCCGGCAGCAATGAGGATGACGTTGAAGCGCATGGTGAATGTGGATGTAAGAAAAGAAACTTGGAAGAACTTTGAAATATGGCTTGCTGGTCAAGAGATGATTTGGAAGATTTGAGAGTGTTTGAATTGTAAGTGTCTGTTGTGATGTTCCAGCTGAGAAGAAGGTGAGGAATGATGGGTTATATAGCTGGAGAAGGAGATGAGATTCCTGAAATCATCGGGCCCTGATCTCACTCCCGGCAGTACCTGACATGCAGCGACTGCCGCTGCGACATGCAATCTAACGATACTGACATGTCTACCGGCAGCTCAAACGAACCAAGGTTGCTATTCTGGGCGCAAACTCACATGGCACAATGTCACCATGCATCTAAGACGTGATGAGATGGGTACCGCAATCAACACCAAGGATCATTTCACGACACGAGCCTTACCTCAGACGAAATGCACCTCCCGATAATAATAGCTTCATTTGTGTGTGTTGTCTGGCCCAGGGCTGATCAGCCGCAGCGTTGGCGGGGCGGCCGCCGCATGACAAATGGCTTGAAAAGAATGATTACTGCTCGCATTGGCTGGTTCTACGAGGTTACCAATCTCGAGGTCATCTCAACTCCCCACCTTACGGCCATCTTACAAAATGGCCCCGCAGCTCGGCTAGAACAGAACTTGCCTGGTGGCAGTGCAATATTGCCTTGGCCATCGAGCTAACCCATGCCGGATTATTAAACAAGTACCGGGAGCGCTGTGAATGGCCAAATATACGGGCGGCAGAGGATAAAGTAGACCGTTTTCATGCTATTCTGGGACCAAGGCGGCGCTACTCTGTAGGTTGTTTTCTGCCCTGGTTCCTGATCACGCGAGCCACTGCCCTATTCCCCCTACACTCCCTTCACACTCACTAGACAGATCTAGGCATAAAATATGTTGACATGGGGTCATACTGATCTAATGAGGACTTGACTCTCGAGGAGCATTTGACAAAGCCTAACATAATGGCATCTGTGCGTCTGATGGTGGATGCTGTGGCGAGAAGTCAGGTAAAACACATTTGCATCCATGAATCCGTCTGCTGCAAACCGTTCTGACTGTGCTTGCCGCCCCTCTCGGCAGGGACGGAACCAGGAACCAAGTCCCTCCTCCATTGCGAGTGCCGAGCGCCATACCCCCGGCACTCTGATGCAACCCATCAGCTTAGGTGCATCGTCGAAGACCGCCACTTGGGAATCTGCTTCCATTCTTTGGCGCCAGGTAATGGGGGTATAATCTGACTCAGAATGATCGCCAAGCTATGTCATTTCAGGCCCTTCGACGCCCTCTGGGATTACGCATTAATAATGTCCTAGAAGGAGTGATCACACAAGAATGAGAATAAGACAGCCTACATAGTCATGACCAAAACCTGGCGCCGAAACTATTCGGGATAGCAGGAGATCTACATTTGCTACAGTGAAGTAATCGGACCTTGCTCCTCGTTTATATACAGGTACTGCAAGCTGGGGAAGGGGGACAATCCCGAGTCATTTCCTGGACTTCCTGCTTTTTCAAATGACCCTTTACTTCTAATTTTTCTAGGTAAATAATTATGATCGGTATAAAAAAGGAATAGGCATTCAAACTTGGTGATGACTTCTGTCAATTTGGCCACCCCTGGCCTACATGAACCATGACTAGGTAAATACAATACCGCAAATGTATGTATATATACCCACTAACAACGATCTTCATCCATGATAGCGGAAACCAAGTAGGCCAGGCCCTTATGAATTAACTAATCTAAAGAGATAACAACTAAGTCAGACCTAAAGCAATATCTCGTCTCAACAGCCAACGAGTAAGTATTAACACCACGAGATATCACCATCATCGCGTAAGCTTTATCACGAGATGTTTCAGTTAGCTGGCTATGGGATATAGTGTCATAGACCAGCGCGGACACATCGCTACCAGAAGATACCAGGGTCGCTAAAGCATACGTATATTCTTCATAGTATCAACGACCTAAGTTTATGATTCAGAGTCCCAGTAGGTCGGCGGAAGCCAGATCGACAGAAGTGGGTGGCCAAACAAGTTCTCCCTAGAATCTTGGTTCAGGCAGTACTTCCCGACAACTACATCTCCTCCTTTGAGATGGTTGACGGCCTCAATGAACTATCGACACTGAAGGCACTTGAATTCCAGCTACTTTTTTTCGGCTTTTTTTTTGCTGTCTGAATGCTCACACTTGTTGGACGAAATGACGCTGATCGCATGGTGACATCAAGTGGCATGTAAGTTCAGAGATGATACACTCAAAATAATGACATCAGACAAGGATAGTTATCTAGTTAGAGCTGGATCTTACATACCAGCCTGATCTCTCGTTAATAACACAGTATCGCTCTCCCACATTCTCTCCGTCCGCCCTACACGAGAGATCAATGAACTGATTTCTTTCATCTTGTATTAAGTAAAAATCCAAGCGATCAACCCTCTGAAAAATGGCCGTGAGTATCAGCCCCTCAGGTGCGACAGAATTGTAACTTCTAACACTCTGCTCCATACAGGATGATTCTCCTCCGGATCTTATCCCATCCCCGCCAAACGAGCATGCTGCGTCAATCTTCTGGTGGCTCCTCGCCTTAATTGCCGCCAGAGCCTTCTTTCGCGCGAAAGGACGAGATTGCGCCCACCAGTCTGGCATAGTTCCCTATTTCACACACCTACTGGAGTTTCTTTTCGCTTGGGATGATGAGTGGTGGGGTTGCAAGGGTTTTAATCATCCCGCAGTCTGTTTTGCAGCACCTAATAGTAGCATTTTTGATAGACCGTGGGTCTGGAATCGTTCTCACTTTGCGCCGGGGCGCTTTGTTTTCAGCCTCTGTCAGAGCAAGTGGTTCTCGTTTGTCCCTCCTGATGACCAATTGCCATTAAACCCCGGTACATATCACCGTCTGGGCGACCCGCCAGGGCCCCTCCCCGAAAGACTGTTTGCCTACAATGATAATGCGGGTTTCGACACCCAGCACCAATTTTGGGTCATCTATGGTTTACACGGGATTGATATTGGAGATGGAAGGACTTGTGGCCACACTCCCTGTGGCACTGGCCCATGCCTCCGCCTCTCACAGGAGTTGGACCAAAGCCGAGCATGGAATATCATCTATAACCTGGGATTTACAATATTATTCATTCTCTGGGCATCACGGATATTTAACAGGAGCCTTCCAATCGCATATATCGTGGTCTGCGCGGTTTCCGGGTGTGGGCTACTAATGATATGGCCAAGTGGCCTTTGGAGCGCAACGATGAGCTTGGACGATAACCAACTCCAACTCATCCACAAATTCGTCTTGTACGCCCCAGAAATCGAACAGAGCGTGAGACAACTACGCGGGGCGTATTTTGACAGCCAACCTTATGGAGTGCCCCGACCAATCGACATCATAATCTGCCATCATGGCACCTGGGCATGGTGTCGAGCTGACACGATTCCTTCGCCCGAGCATAAGCGCACGTGGCTCAAACTGGGCTTACGCTCTCGAAATCGTATCTACTATATCGCTGATGTTTTGTTTGAGCTGTGGACTTTGGCCATTCATACCATACTCCCATTCACGTTCGCTGAATTTGGGGTGAATTTAGTCTTTGGCGGGCTTGTGGCCTCGATTGATAATACGTCTTATATGTGGGCGACATTCGTTTCCGTGAATCTCCTCAAAGCCCTTTGTTACGGGATCACGCGCCCGGGCGATGTCATGCACAGATGGGTGCTGGGAGACACTTGGCTCTTGGCCTGGTATATCACACTGTACAAGTCCCTGTCCAATGTGACTGTTCGGTTTTTATGGAATGTAATATGGGCTTGGGGAAAGGACCTCTTTACAACTCTATTTTCTGGGAGTAAAGACGACGGGACGCCTTGTGGCGCGACCAGCTCAAGCAGTTCATAATAGATCGCCTCCCGTATAATTAACGTCAAATATATTATTCTGCTGCTAAACCCGAAATATAATCCATGTTACGTTTCAGGGACTCCACCATCACGCCAGTCGTTCTCTTCGACATGTCACGACTTTGCTCCATTGCAATATGGAATATTGTCGATACACAAAAGCCATACTCCGGTACAGATCTCCCAATGACGGATGTACCCGGAGGGAGACGCAGGAGCTGCTCTACATTACCCAGCTGATGCTTGATCGTCTGGACCATAATCTTGAGGTAGAACCGCCCCTTCACGGGAGGCAGGCCTGGGTGAAGACTAAATTTCGGTGCCAGATCGAAGAACTGGTCGATATCCGGGACGCCACTCAACAGCACATGGACACGGCTAAAGGTGTAATCAAAGATGTGCAGCAGTTGCAGGTAGCACGACACGCACAAGAGTGCAATGGGCATGGTGAGGCTATCAGCCGTCTTGGGCACGCTGGCATGCAGCGGCATGAACTCTTCAATGATATTGCCAAGCTCGGCCGTGGTGTTCATCATCTGCGCGAACGGATCAAACTCTGGCGTCTTGATCGCCTCGCTGCAGTAGTCAAGCACCCCGGGCCCGTTCCACGTGAGAAGCTCCAGACTCGATATTTGTTTGCTTGCGTCGACATTTAGCTGGGCGAGTCTCTGAAGCATCTTGGTGCCGCTCGGTTCGATCAAGCCTGGGGGTTGCCTGACGATATTTGTGTGTTGTGGTGCTCCTCTGATCACGCCGCGTCTGCTTAGTTCAAGATCTCTAATGTTGACTGGTTTATCGTGTTCTTGCGGGTTCATATAATGAGCCTGCACTTTTTCCGCGAGGAATGTTGCGGCCGAAAGATCCGGATGCTGAGAGCTACTCAGTGCGGGGGAAAGTGGTGAGTTACCGCCCGAGAAGTCCAAATCTAAGAACTCGAGGGAACCCGGGCTATATGAAAAGTCATCTTCATTGAGAATGAGGGCAGATGAGTCGGCGGGAGGAGTCGCTGTCGATAGATGCTCTAAGAGCTGCGTTGTTGGCTGCGATGTGGGCGTCATCGCATGCTGCGAGTTTGACTCTGAGAATGGCGTGGAGGCTGAAGCTCGAGGACGCCCTACACGCCGACGAGCACCTGTAACACAGGGGATACGGGCTCGTTGACAGCGAGTGCACGCGTCGACCGACTCATCGTCCGGCCGACAGCACCTCAGCTTATGGTCCCGGCACCTGTCGCACGCGGGTCGTCTCGAGAACTGCACCTTCGGCGGATTCATAGTGAGATTGAGCTGCCTGCAAACGTCCGAAGAAAAGAAGGCAAGGGAAGGGGGAGGAGGACGCGGCGCGGGCGAGAAGTCAGACGCTCCGCTTATTAGTCTCGAATCGCTAATTTGAATCCTCCAAAACATGATATTCCCGATGTGCTAACTCAATCAGGCAAATTCCCGAATGTGTCTGATCAAAACTCCCGATAATTCAGACTATGGAGCTTCGGCAGTTGATTGTGGAACAAAGGGATGAACCGTAAGAATCTGTTAGCCACTATATAACTTGCAAGACTCAGCATGCTTCTCTGGCATTCAATCCCATCTGTTTGCATCTCACAGCCCTGAAAGTCACCCCTGTTCCAACTTCAAAGCACTTGCATTCTCCGTCAAGGAGACGAAACTGGCTCAACATGGGGGTTCCCGATGAGACAAAGAAGTTGAGCGACGAGACTGAAATTTCCAACCTCGCCAACAATAATGTCCCGACCACCGTTAAAAAAGGCCAAAGGTTCTGGATCACCATCATTGCCCTTGGATTCGCCGGATTACTTACGGCCCTGGAAGCAACCGTCACATCAACTGCAATGCCATCTATCATTGCCGAACTGGGTGGCGGGAATGCCTACATCTGGGCCATCAACGGATATCTCCTTGCCTTGTGTGTGCCTAAAATCCCATTTGTGCGTTGAACAAAAGCTAACCCTTTCCATCAGGACCTCTCTTCAGCCTCTGTTCGGACAATTGGGCGACGTTTTCGGTCGAAAGTGGCCCATGGTAATTGCAACTGCTCTGTTCATCCTCGGAAGTGGTATTTGTGGCGGCGCTACCAACATGTCCATGATGATTGCCGGTCGAATTATACAAGGTGTGGGCGCAAGTGGCATCAATGTTTTTATCGAAGTCATCATATGTGATCTTCTGCCGCTTCGCGAACGGGGTAAATACATGGCCATAATATTCGGGCTCGTCAGTCTCGGAACGGCCCTTGGTCCCTTCTTTGGCGGCTTGATCGTTGACTCTACGACGTGGCGCTGGGTGTTCTACATGATTCTGCCGATAGGAGCCGTTTCACTCGTCTTCCTCACCATCGCGTTGCCGTCAAACTTCAACAGAGACACAACACTAGCCGCGAAACTAAAGAAGATTGATTGGACCGGGAATGTCATATTTATTGGAGCTGTGTCCTCGATATTTATTGCGCTGGCATGGGCTGGAGTCGTCTACTCCTGGAAATCCTACCAGATCCTAGTACCACTGTTGGTCGGTTTCGCAGGTCTAGGTGGATTTTTGGGATATGAGGCTTCTCATTTCGCCCAGCAGCCTATGATGCCTCTTCGTCTGTTATCCAACAGGACATCGGCGGCAGTGTTTCTCATCACATTCTTCCATGCCATTATCTCAATGTGGACACTTTACTTTCTGCCCGTCTACTTCCAGGGAGTCCTCAGTTCCTCCCCTCGTACCTCGGGGTTACAACTTCTAGCCACTATCCTGGTCATGATACCAGCTGCAGCTTCAGGCGGCGTGCTCCTCTCCAAGTTTGGCTCTTATATCCCGATTCACTACGTCTCCTCTGGCATCGCCATCATTGGCTTCGGCCTGTTCACTCTGCTCGACGAGAACTCGTCCGCCGGTGCTTGGATAGGCTTCCAGATCATTGAAGCAATCGGTGTCGGCGTAATCATTCCTACTCTCTTGCCCGCCGTCCTGGCTCCTCTCAGTGATGCCGACACGGGGCTTGCGACAGGAACCTGGTCTTTCTTCCGCAGCTTCGGCATGAGCTGGGGCACTGCCATCCCGGCAGCCATCTTTAACAACCGGTTTGATGAGCTTTCAGGCAGCACCATCGCCGACGAAGCTTTGAGGGCACAGGTCACAGGTGGCCGGGCTTATGAGCACGCCACAGCTGCCTTCTTGAAGACGCTGTCTGGTGAGAATCGGGCGGATTTCATTGCTACCCTTGACGAGAGTTTGAGGCGGACATGGCAAGTTAGTATCGGATTTTCGGTAATTGTTTTCTTACTTGTTTTCCTAGAGAAGAAGGTGGCCCTCAGAAATGAGCTCGACACTGAGTTTGGATTCAAGGAGGGAAAGGCAGACGTTGGAAGCACATCATCAGAGGAGGTGAAGCCTTGAGGCTCGCAAAGACATTCTTTATCCAAACAACTAACAGTCTCATACTTGTACAGCTAGTTGTTTGCTTGTACCCAGACATTCTTTTCTTTTCTTTTTTGTCCTTTCTTTTCTTATCTCTCATAATTACAGAGCTATAGAGCATCAAAGGGGCTACCGCAAGAGTACAATGTACAGACAGAGGGGCACTTAGACATGGTTCGACTTTGAACTGCAGCAAAAAATACTCATTTTCGATTTTTTGTTTGAATTTCCACGGGGTGCATACTACGCGAGATATGTTAATCGCGAAGGCCAAAGAGATAAAATTTCTTCCAAATAAATTATCGTAGTCATCGTTATCGAGAAGCCTTCTTTCGCCCTCTCACCAACCCCTTTCAGTGACCCGACCCATGTTCAAGGTCTAAGGTAGGGTGTAGCCTCCGTCGATCACAAGGTTGGCTCCTATGGCTTGGGTCAGTATTTCTTCTTTCTCGAATATGCCATTATTACTATGCTTACCAGTCATGTAGCTGGACGCCTCGCTTGCCAGGTACACGTAGGCTCCCTTCAGCTCGGCTGGATCACAGAAGCGCACACCAGGGATCAGCTCGGGCCACTTCTGGGTCCATTTCTCTGGGATAGTCGCAATCACTAAAACATGGTCAATACAAGACATGCACAATCGGGGAAGGATGATGGTGATTCAACGTACTGTCTGTAGCGATGAAGCCTGGCGAGACGCAGTTGACGCGGGTAAACTCGACCCATTCCACGGCCAGCGACTTGGCCAGGTGCGTCACGGCGGCTTTGCTGGCATTGTAAGCGGCCTGTGGCTGGGGGATATTGACCAGGATCCCGGAGACGCTGCTGGTGAAGATGATGCTCGCGCGGCCGTCGCCGCCGGCCTCCTTCTGGCGCTTGAAGACCTTGGCGGCGGCCTGCGCCGTCCAGAAGGCGCCGTGGAAGTTGACGTCGAGCATCTCCCGCCACTGGTCCTCGTCGTAGTCGATGGCGGGGATGTGCGCCGCGATGCCCGCGTTGGCCACGCAGATGTCGAGCCTGCCGCCGCCCAGCTCGCTCGTGATCTTCCCCACCGTGGCCGTGACGGCGTCCTTGGACTTCACGTTGCAGTGGTACGCCTTGACGGTCGCGCCGCTGGCCGACTGGGAGATCTGCGCGGCGACGGCGTCGGCCTGGCTGCCGTCGGTGCTCGAGTACGTGACGGCCACTTTGGCGCCTGCTTCAGCGAGACCCCGGGCGACTTCCAGGCCGATCCCGCGGCATCCGCCGGTGACGATGGCTGTCTTTCCAGCCAGGCTGAAGTGGGACAGCACTGGGGCCTTGGGGTTGGAGTGAGTAGCGAGCACCATGTTGGGCGTTTTGAGTGAAACGAAGAGTTGGAGAGTTTGGAAGATTCTTCACAAGCGACCCTGATGTTCTTTCTTCAGATCTAATATCTAATACATCAATGTCCGGTAGCCGGAGGGGCCAATCGTCTATCGAGAGGGGCTGCGTACCGCCCGTGGGGCTTGTCTTGAACCGCGCGAATCGACGGTCATCCTGAACACACCAAAGCTGCCCAGCGAGGTACCCAAAGAATTTCACGCGTGCGCATGACTGAGCGATACACGAAGTTCTGTGGACAGAATCCGGAGATCGGGTGCCTGCCACCCCGCGCCAATTTTCCTGCCTCGGGGTTGCTCCGTGGCTACTGAAATGGAGCTGGTGGGTGGATTCTTTGCACGATCACGCGACGCGTTTTTTTATTTTCTTTTTATTTTCCTTTCTGTCGCTGATGTTGCTTCTTCCGTGATGCGACGGTGATACTTGGTGGTGTCCAGTAGAAAAGTCACGGGTACAAGGAAAATGTCCTCATCATGGACTGGCATGATGATGCAATTACTTTGGGCAAGTTAGAGAAGGGTGAACAATGGTTAGTCTTTGCCATATTGAATTTAAGTGCAGCTTTAATGCGAGTTGGAAAACGAACAAACTCCCATTGCAATAATCCATGTTCATTTCTGAAGTTCACTTGTGCGAGGTGCACATAGATTGGTGATGTTAGATGTTTAAGTTGAAGCACAAAGATACGTTGGTCATAAAGAGCCCCCCTCACAACTTCTATCATTCTAGAATAAAATATCGGACTACTCAGTGATGATTAATTATCCAAAAAATCCACCATTGTAGCTTTGTGCTCAGCTCATCAGAGAAATGACACATGTGATGCCATTTTACCAGCTGCTTTAGGGTAGGTCGGAGGAATTGGTGAAGCAGTCTCAAGCTTCGGGGAAAACGGCGGGGTCAATCTAGCATCTGGTATCATCCAATTCAATTGCACGTCATGTTCTGAGGATTGAGCTATTGCTAGTAAAGGGGTAGAATACTCCCGACGTATTTCCTAGTAATTGGCATGGGTATTGGAGCTGAGAAAAGAGGCATCAAGCGATGTCTCGAGCGTCTCTCGGGCCAAAGCCCGTCCCTCGCTCTAGCGGAAATAACACCGAAGATGTTTGATCTTTGCTCATTAAAGCCTCACCGAGCACTGCCTGGTGATGGCATCAAATAGGGGCCTCACTCAATGCAACCCCTCTAGATGCAGATCTCCAGGCGAAGAGGCCTAGAATGCCAATATCATGCCCTCGGTATTAATTGAAGAAGGCTGTATGCAGCTAGGGATCTGCCGAGTCGCGTGGTCCTGAGACGAGGCCAATTAGGGCATCCTGCTAGTGCAGAGGGCCAACTTGGGTCCTTGACATCTTCAGTGACGATCCCGAGTATTGGCGTTGCAGTGCGCCGAGTCGAATATCAAGATCAGCAGCGGCGACACTCGGTGAGGGCTTCATCACAACGCTCCATGTTGCGAGCCTAGCCGTTCGCGTGGACTGGCCTGGCACGACACCCTTTTTCAACGGGCATCAACAGAAAAACCCTGGCTGTTAACACGTGCTGATATGATATGACAGACCCCTCCGTGGGGGCCTTTTGCCCGAGAAGAGCTGGGATTTTCATTACCTCCTGCCGATCTAATCACCGCTCGTGGTCAACGGCCTGTCAGCATGGGAACGTCCCATATCCCGGCATCCTCTAGTAGCGGCCACAAATTGGGATCACCCAGAAGACAGACACTCCCTCTCCTCTCCTCCTCCGTGACGTCAATCGGCGCCCATCAGGCTCATTCTGCGGTGTAGGGCTGGGGGGAAATGGCGCAAATCACCCCAAGGGCTTCCGTCAAGCCCCTGGCCTCTTCCCCAGATGCCTGCATTGATCCCTCGAATGTCACTGCCCCTGAAGCTCGCAACGTCGGTCAGCGCAGAGGCACCGCACCGCACTGCACTGTGGTATTACTGTCCACTGGCAGATCTGCGCCTGGTGGGGGAGGGGGTTGTTGTCCCATTTCGATAGAAGCCGTGCAGGGGGCAGCCAACCTTCAGCTTCGTGAAAGGGCTTGGCTTTTCGTCTGACATATATGAGCAGCCGCTCGCCTCTCGATCCTGCTGTTGCTTCCTCTCCAGGCTTGATATCCACATTCATCCCAAATACCAACAATCGAGGCTTTCCTCACCACCACTCCTTTAGCACAAACCACAGTCACTCATTCACTCGCAAAACAGTCTTTCGCGTCCATTTCGGCAATTATATCCACTATTTTATAATTTTTTACATTCTTAAAAATCACCGCCACCATGAAGTTCTCTTCCGTTCTCGCCTGGGCCTCTGTCGCCTTCGCCGCTCCCACTCCCGCCGCCGTTGAGGAGCGCGACGTGATCGTCATCTCCACCTTTGTCAGCACCGTCCAGAAGCTCGAGACCACCGTCAAGACCCAGGTCGACGATATCGGTACGCACTCCCCATAATTTCGCAGGAGAAGTCGTTTGAAAGATTATTCTAACACGCGCGCAACAGTCTCAACCGCCAAGATCACCAGCAACGTCGACGAAATCGTCTCCAGCGTCAAGGGCAACCTCGTCACCATCATCTCCGCCGTCACCGAGTCCACCGGCACCATCGCCCAGATCGCCGCCAGCAGCCCCGCCGACGCCATCAAGGGTCTCAAGAAGGCCGACGTCAAGGAGGTCCTCGTCGCCGTCAAGTCCGTCAACAACATCGTCTCCGAGCTCAAGATCGCCGTCTCGACCATTGTCAAGGACGTCCCCTCTGCCGTCAAGACCGCCCTCGCCGACGAGATCAACCAGGTCAAGGGTCTTCTCTGGCCCTTCCTCCAGCCCGTCCTGACCATCGTCGGTGCTGTCGAGAACCTCGCCAGCTCCCTCGGTATCAAGACCGACCAGCTTGTCAGTGCCCTGTCTCTCGTCCTCGGCCTCGTCAACGGTATCCTCAACCTTGTCAACCTCCCCGAGATCCTGTAAGTTAGTTCATAACCATGAACTTCCTCAGAATCGGGACCTCCGAGGTTTCCGAGCAAGTCAAACGGCCCAGTGTAATGTCTAGCGGAAAATCAGTGTGGATGGAACTTGGCAACAGGAAATTTCATCTTAGTAATGTGGCTTGGTAGCGTGTTAGTGCCATAATTTAAACATATCAAGCAGCATCAATCATTTCCACGTTCCATAAAGTGCATCGGGAATGTTGTCCTAATCCTTCATATTTCTGCCATCCCGTGAGCGGGTAAGATGTGGTAGCAGAGGCGAAGAAGAAATACACCCAAGTGAATAAGATTCTGCACTTACTGTGTTCTAAATATCCAGTGACTATAAATAAGAACTCTATGAAATTTGTACAAAGGAAACAGGATATTAGTATAAAGTGAATGAGTTTATGAGTGTGGAGCATGGTCATCGCCGAACATGTTAACACCCAAATGAGAACCGCCGGCTGTCCTCAAAACTTGAACCCGTTACCATGTCTTAGGTACCTTGCGGTTGCGTATACCATCCGCCAAACCAACCGGGCCATAGCTTAGGCTTGGACGGCGTGAGTGTGAGTAAAGTTCTCCTTCAACTCCCAGTACCCCTGGTCCTCTCTATTGCGGAAAAACAGCCCGATTGTGAGCTTCGCCCCGATCTTCTGAGCCCGCGTGCGCTCATCGTTCACCTCGGCGTGCGTCTCTCCACTTCCATCCTGGGCAAGATAGGTGTGGTAGTCGGCGGGCAAGAACCGAGCAGGGTTCCAGATGTTCCAGATGACCGAGTTGATCAACATGAATGTAGCCTCGAAGATGTAGAAGAACACCTCGTATCTGAGAATGGGTGTCAAGTCCTGGAGCGAATCAAAGTCTGACAGGTCGACTGCCGTGTGCCCGGTGTGCTCGATGAGGCGGTAGATGCAGCGGATGAAAATCAAGAACATGCTGGCATAGAGGACCGGCAGGAGGGTGCTGATGACCCTGGAGCGCAGCTTCAGTTTGACGAAGCGCCAGTGAAATACGGCTGACAGGGCGACGAATGTCACGATCAGAACGAACTGTATAGCCAGGGCGGCGATCGTTAGGTGGCTTCCCATCTTTTGTATCGTCGGCTGGGACTTCGGGTTGGACGCGAACGAGACGCCAAGCCCGTTGAGAGTTTCAACGAACAGCATCAGCAGACCAAACACGGAAAGGACCTTGCCGGGAGGAAAGGGCGCTATGTAAGGCGCATAGTAGAATATGTGGCCGAGGATATTATAATTGATCAGTTCGAGAATAGGGCTGGATTCGCCATTGTTAGCTTATCTCATGATAGCCATTCATACCAGGCCCTCACTCACGGGCAAATGTATATAAACACCTGACTGAGAATGAACATAATCAAGTCAAGGTCCTCGAAGTACGAGTAGTGGAATGCTCCGAATTCCCGAAAAGTATACCCCACAGTGAAGAGGAAGGTACAAGCTGCGTGCAGCCCAACCAATTTCCAAGCTTTATAGCGGCTTATTCTTCATTTTAATATATGATCTTATCTCACAGTACTGAGGAGAGCTTGAACTTGACTTACTAGCACTGGTAGGCATGTCCGACTGTTGAAATCGCGTAGAGGCCCGCAAATACTGCTGGCGCGATCTTGTTCGGAGCATAGACGTATAAGCTGTATGGAACTGGGCCGGTTTTATGAGAGACTTGCCCAAAAGAAAAGTAAGGTTAATCGAAACTTACCAGCTTCGCCGTGCGACATTGTATCGGAACTGGGGGGAAGCAACTCCCGCAGTTGGCCGGTAAATAGATGGAATAGATTGCAGAGAGACGCAAGCAAACGCCGTGTGATAACTACTGCAAGAGGACATCTTGGTTCCCGGCGCTTGGTTGGTTTTTAAATACCAATTATACTTGAGGCTTGATCCTCAGCCATCGAGATAAACACTTGGCGTTGTCTGAAAAAGGTAAATAGATGTATCCGGTACGCTGTACCCCAAGAGGCCTCGTCAGCTACTCGACTAATCGACTTACATTTCCAGGGATCTGCCGGCCACGGGTACCAAACCCGCAACGTGCGATCGGTCTTGATAATGAGATATCGGGCTGTCAGGGTAATGGTCCCGCTAATTCTCCAAGAGGCGGAGCCCTCATAATTAAGGGAGGCCAGGTAAAGCATGATTCTTAACTGTCATAGAGGGTTTCGAGAATCGCGACGAACGCGAGCAACGGCAAACAGGGGTCTTGGAGGGTTTGAGTCGTGATTGTGGACCTCGGCATAATCATGGTCCAATCCTGCAGCGACAAACTAAACTCGAACAGGATAATAAAAGGCCAAGACTTTTAGGCTGAGGAGTCCCATAAATTCTGTGAAATGTCAGCAGGGAGCTGGCGTTGGTTATGTTAATGGGGGTCCGTCCTACCTGTACGAATGAGCTCTTGCCACTTGACCTGTTGGATGGGGAGTGACAGTCTACCTTTTACTTCCTCATCAAGCTTTTTATTATCCGGGCTTTGTGCACATGTCACAAAATGGGCTCTAACGACAAGAAATTGGCAAATGCCGCGTCATCCTTGATGGACAAGGGTCACTCTCGGAGCCAGAAACGTCACTGCTGGGAATGCCTAAGACGCCGTTTGGTGTGCGATTCGACGCACCCTGTATGCAAGAGGTGCTCCATCGCCGGGGTGGTCTGTCCCGGCTATGAGAATACCCAGCCTCTCAAGTGGCTTGCTCCAGGGAGAGTCAAAGTCCGGAACAGGAGGCCGAAAGCGACCAGCTCGGCGAAGGTCGCCAAAAATAGTTGTAAGGCTGTGGTGACCGCCCGGACTGGGACACGATCACCGCCTTTTATAGATGTGATCTGGAATTGGCCTCCTGAATTGAAGGCTGAGGCATTTATATTCTCCGAAGCCGCAGAATATTGTGAGTGGCCAGCTGGTCAAGTTTATCCTCCGCTAGACTCAGCTAACTTATGTTGTCAGACAACACCTGCATCTATCAAGACCTGGTACCCATTCACGACCTTGCTTATAATGATGCTGTCTTCCCAATCACAAGAGAACACCTTCAACATGCCGCTCGGGTGCCAAATTACATCAAATATATATTTGTGTGCGTGTCACTCAGCCATCGGATCAATAGAACGCGAAACGATCCTGAACTCAAGACACTCGTCCAAAGAATATGGGAATATCGTGGTATAGTTATCCGAGGTCTCCGAGAGGACATAGTGGAAGGAAGCAAACGGCGTTTCGATATCATCCTCGCAGGAATCATCTCTCTTTTACTGGTAGATGTAAGTCGGCTTGCCTAGTAAGAAGACGTGGGCAATCGTCGTGCTGATATTAGCCGTTCCCCGAGCGACAGGCTCAGCAAGGCTCCTCTCCAGATTGGCTATGCCACATCGACATGATACAGGCCCTTATATCAATGCGAGGCGGGTTTCGCGCCGCCTGTACTCCATCGCTCGACCCCGTGATTCTCTGCTTCTTTTAGTACGTGCCGTCAAAGGATCCCCGCAATGTCAAGAGAGACTAATAATGGCGTGTGTAGCGTTTTGGCACTTGGAAACACGACATCCCCGGCATCCTCACTTGCCATGACTCGATCGAATGTTGAAGACCTCGACTTCATCATAGAGCGCTATGGTGATCGGACGTTCCAGTTCCACCTCCTGCCACCGCCTCTATTTGCTGAGATTGTCCGAATAAATCACCTCCGTATGCGAGCCGCGTCCGGCATGGTAGGGGAGGACCTGTGCCAAGAAGCGTATGAGATCTTGGCGCGGATAGAAGCCTTCTCATCCGACAGCTGGGCCGATTCCAAGCCTGCTATGAATCGTGAATGGGCTCTGGTGGCCCTCTCGACACAGGCGGCTGCAGCGCTGTACTGCATAGCCTCGCTACAGAGCCTTGGCGTGCTTCCACTCTCCGATATATTGGAAGCGTGCCGGATTGAACACGGGATTTCATTGCATGCCTACCTCAAGGAGGCGCTTCCGTCAATTAGGATCAGGAGATTTGTTGGCTGGCCACTTTACGTCCTTGGAATGGAAGCCGCGAATAGTTGTGGAGGCATGAAAGATTTTGTTAGGGATGAGCTGGTAGGGATGAGTTACCACATCGGCACGAACACGCCGTTGGTGGCCAAGGAGCTCCTGGAGAGGTTCTGGGCTTCAGGTGATTCAAGATGGGACTCGTGTTTCGATAAACCATACCCTCTGGCGACTCCGATTGCTATTGATGTGAGTGGGATAATATAATACTTGATGCTCGATCCTTTGTGATATTTCATAGGCAACCTCAGATTCTATTTGTACGTGAAATTCTCAATATTGATCGGTATGCCAGACTTGATTTACCTCATGAAGTGTTGGATGGAAAGTTCAGGCAAAATGAAAATTAAATGTTGAATTGCCCTATTATGCTGGATGGGTAAAAACTGAGTTTGTTTTTCCCTGCAACGTCTTCTTCTAGTAGATGTACTTGAAATCTAGTCCCTGGTCACCGTGCTTCCCGTTTTCTGTCTTGCCTTCCGCCAGCAGTCGTTCCTTTTGTGCCATACGACGCCGGAGCAAAGTATAAATCAACACCACACTGATCAATGCACCAGCCTCCAGTCCCAAAGACACGGCGTTTCCCTTGATGTAGCGTGGCTTGTCTGATGCTGGGTAGATCTGAGAGGCCACAAGACCGGAAATGTTTCCAACAGATATGACCATGGCAATGGCCACAGAACGTTTGTAATCTGGTTGAGTGTTGTTGGAGACCCATCTATAATATCGGGGTGATTGGTTAGCTTTCCAAAGATGACAGTGTCGCTGATTGAAGGCACGGATTACTCACGTTACAAGAATGGAGTTGTAGGAGTAAACTCCAGCACCAACCACAAACATGCCCGCAAAACCGGCTGCCTTATCTGCAGACCCAATGCAGATGGCGTATCCAATGATAACCAAAAGAGGCGAGTGAATGAGGCACGCAGCACGGCGATTATAGCGATCGGATACGAATGTCGAGATACCTGTTGTGATGGCAGCCAACACATAGACTGGGATTGAAAGGTAATTGGCTTGAAGGGACGTGTAGCTGAGGAGTCATTGCGTTAGCGTAACATATCAAATGATTCGTTGAGTATGTGTCTTACTTAAGACCAAGCAAAATAGTTGGTAAAAAGGTGCTGAACCCAAACATGGCGATGGAGGAGCAGAACAAAGATGCCGAAGCAAGGTAGATCATGGGATCAGTGATGGCCATCTTGACCTCCTTCCAGTCAAGAGTTCCGGAGCTCGAGGGCGTCGTATTCTTGGCTTTGATACTCTTCATCGTCTCCCTCTCTTCCGGCTTGAGGAACCACGCTGTCTCGGGGGATGTCGGGAGACTGACCCAGCACGCAAGTCCGATTCCGAACGAGATGGTTCCCTCGACAATGAATAGCCACCGCCAAGCTTCAAGACCGTGCCTGGCTCCCATGGATTGGATTCCGTACGCAAATAGACCTCCGAATGCACCCGAGAGGGCAATCGAGATGTACAAGACCGCAACTCGCTTGCCTTGAGAACCGCGGGGATAGATCATAGAAATGACAAAGGTGAGGGCTGGGAACAGACCGGCCTCAAAGATACCGAGGAGAACACGCATGGCAATCATCTCTCTGTAGCTGTTGACGAACCCTGTCCCAAGAGTGATGGCACTCCAGCAAACGATGGCAACAGCAAGCACGCGGCCTGGCCCAAATTTCTTCACTGCAATAACCCAAGGAGTCTCGAAAATCACGTAGGGGATGTAGAAATACATGGAAATGTCGTTGAAGTCGTTGCCTTTCATCCCGGTACTCTCTTCCAAACCAAAAACGCGTGCATTGCCTGTACCGGAACAGCAAGGCCATGTCAGCAACCATTCTCAGCAGATTCTTAAGTGCATAATCAAAGAGCCTTACCAATATTTGTGCGATCTAGGTACGCAAAGATGACCAAAATGGCCATCTGCGGCATGACAAGCCAATCAAATCTAGACAGGACGGCACGCTCATTGTCGCTGTAGATCTCTTCGATCTCGCCAGTCGCGACAACAGGCGAGCTGACCTCTCGATCAGACAAGTCATTCTTTTCGTTCGACATGATGTGCGGTAGATTCTTCTAGTGGGGGAATCTAGGTTTGATCAGTCGAGATGGTAGGTTTGAGGACACAGAGTCATACTTTGGCGAGGATCAGCATACTTTTAAAAGGCAACTCCATCAACAAGGGCCCCGGAAGAACTGCTGATACAGGCACAGGGAACCGGGTATTACTCGCAGCCCCATTGGCCAATGTTATCTCTATCTTGGTTCCTCTGACCACAACTTGCGGAGAAATCGAGCTCCACAGGGAACGCCGACGGCGGATATAATGTTTTGACACATCATGATCCACTCAACCCCGCAAACTACAAGCCAGTGATGGCTTATCATCGAGAGGGTTTATGGGTCTAGTCCGCCGTCGGCGTCGCCTTTGAATCCACCCACTGACTAGCAGAGAGATAGCTGGCCGTGCCTCGCGAACGGGAGCCGGCGGACCACAACCGGCGGCGTTGCATGTTACCCCTCCAGCCCATCTATGCATTATTAGCCGGCGAGGGAGAGGGACCCGATGCAAGGACTGAAGCTAGCTTAAAAACAAACCTGCCCTTGCATTCATCTGCCTCCATCTCGACATTCACCTGGTTTAATGTTGATCCAACCCTGTCGCTTTTGGTTGAATAGATCGCTTGCCCTCCCACAGTCTCAAACATGAGCCAGTCCGAAGTTCCAGCCCTGAGGGCCAACCAGACTCGCCTAGCAGAGACTCTTCATGAAAGCTGCCAATTTGGGGCAGCTCATCCCTATGGAAGGTGAGTGAATCTGGGCCCATCAAAGCATCGTTTACCTTTCTTCCTCCTTCTCTATTCCCTTGGCTCTTCCAGTGGACGAGTGTGGCTGATGTTTTGATTTCAGCGACACCACCGAGACGGGAATGGCCAGATTAAGTCTCGATGACTCCGACAAGGCCGTTAGGGACTGGTTCATCAAGTCTGCCGAGTCTCTCGGCTGCAAGATTTCAGTAGACGAGATGGGAAATATCTTCGCCGTCCGGCCTGGCAAAAATAACGATGCGCCTCCCATCATGATGGGCTCGCATCTCGATACCCAACCCACCGGCGGCCGCTACGACGGTATCCTCGGAGTCCTGGGCGGCCTGGAAGTCTTGAAGGTACTAAACGAGAACTCCTATGAGACTGAAGGACCTGTTGGTGTGGTCGACTGGACAAAGTAAGAATACCCTGCCCAAACCAGAATGCCTGTTCTTCAGCTGACATGGTCATTTTTAGCGAGGAGGGCGCCCGATTTCCAAAGATGGCCGTCTCTTCTGGTGTCTGGGCCGAGCAAGTTCCCTTGGAAGATGCCTGGAATCTGAAAGAAGTAACTGCAAATCACGACAGTCCCAAGACCATGAAAGAAGAACTCACCCGTATCGGTTATTTGGGCAAAAACCCTGCCTCGTACCGCTCGAATCCTTTTGCTGCTCATTTTGAGTTACATATCGAGCAGGGCCCCATTTTGGAAGATCAAGGTCAAAAGATCGGCGTTGTAGAAGGTACGATCTGGAACTTCCGTGCGCTCCTTTGGTTATGTGCTAATTGGCGATCTCGACAGGCGTCCAGGCCTTCAAGTGGTTTGAGATTACAGTCAAGGGAAGGGACAGCCACGCTGGTACCACGCCTCTCTACGCGCGAAAGGATGCCGTCCTGAGTGCTGCGAGAATGGTCGCCGCTGCTAATCCTATTGCTAAGCGTCTCGGAGGATTGACGACGACTGGCATTTTTGAGACTAAGCCAGGAACCGTCAATACCATGGCACACACTGTGGTTTTCACACTGGACATCCGCCACATGAAGAATGAAACTCTGAGCCAAATGGAGGAGGAATGCAGAGCCGAATTTCAGAGAATCGCACATGAGGACAGCGAGAAGGGCTGCGAAGTTGATTGGAAGCTGCTCGTTGACAGTCCTGCGGTGGAGTTCAACCCTGACTGTATCCGTGTCGTCGAGCAGAGCGCCACTGATGTCTGCTCGGCGCTCCCACAAACACACCCAGATGGTAAGTTGTGGCGAAGGATGATCAGCGGTGCTGGCCACGACAGCTGCTACACCAACACGCGATGCCCGACCAGCATGATCTTCACACCCACGAAAGATGGGATCAGTCACAACCCTGTTGAGTACTGCTCTGCCGAAGATTGGTATGCCCTTCCCCATTTCCAAGTAACTCAGCTTGACAATGACCTCTAACTCTTTGATAGTGCCTTGGGTGCCAGCGTATTGCTTGGGGCCGTTTTACGTTACGACAAGCTTCGTGCGGAGCGTGGAGACTTTGCTTCATAAACCTGTAATATTATAGATACACGTAGGATCTGGGTCAATTGATGTAACCGTGAATATATTCAAAAAGTATTAAAATGTATTACAATCACCCATTATGTTCGTCCCTTTCGTGTCCTGTTAGTCAGGAAGTAATGCTTCTGGTCGCACTCAATTAGCACCTGCAGGTTGATTGAGGTCCCGTTGTTTGGAAGCGGGATCGATTCGCTTCCAAAAGAGAGCATCAAGCTTCGTAGCGGCCAGGCGCAGCAGTGTCCATGTTTGGGCACGTGTCTGCAATGCCCTTCTCCATGTCTCCAGCAGCTTCTGGTCGTGGGCGGCCATGCGTGGCTGCACAGATTGCAGGCACAGCATGTACGTGAACAACCCTGGATAGCAAAGGCAATGGCGGGCGTAAGATGGCCAGAACGCGGACTGGTGCCTTCCATCTAGCCGTCTCATGAACTTGATGACAGTTTGCATGAAGCCGCGGCATGCTTGGAGGATCGCCTCAATCGAAGGCATCGAAGATTGCGCGTAATCGGGCTGTTCGCGCCTCTCCACAATGGGACGTAGGAGAGTACGAAGAACCAGAATTTGCACGGTGAAGAACGCAACATGCAACGAGCCTTGAGCTTGGACGGAGTCGTCTTCATCCTCATCTTCGTAATCGTCTTCTTGCCCGTCCATATGCATCTGAAGCGACTGTGGTAACCCGTTCATCCATTCCAAAAGCTGTTGGCGGGGTTCTCGTGCTTGTTCGATTAGGCGTTCTAAAGACTGAGGTTGAGATACGGCGCGGAGTGAACTTGAGATAACATTAGCTAGCGTATGCAAAGTCCTGGCATGATTTATCGGAGAAAGAGGTAGTCAGCATGAAGAAGTACTCACTAAAATTGTCGGATGACTCTCCGGGCAATTTCTGTTAGACGACACAGGTGGAAAAAGTATTCGGGTGAACGTCCCACGTCACTGTCGAGGTCCATCTCAAAATCCGAAGAATCGAGATGTGTGACATTCCAATCATCGTCCGTTATCATCAGCGCTCTACCATGTGTGACTGAGCGCCAAGTGTGGTCAACAAAGACACACCACCATAAACGCCGGCGTAGTCGGATCTCCCAGCGCGGCAGATTCCATGCAGATGGATCAACGTTTAAACCCAGAGTTTGGGCAATGCCGAGCATCGAGCATGCCATGGACCACACAAAGGGGGTATCAACGGAAACGGGATCAAATGGATAATGGTTGATAAGTAGGACACACAGTTGCACGGTGGCCAACTTTGGAAAGTGAAGTTCTTTCTGGAGGTTGGCATAGGCAATCTGCCATAGTGTTTCTGATGATGGTTTCGTATAGGCGTTGTTGAGACAAAATTGTTCATCGAACGAGATGAAAGGAAGGGCCAGCGCGTAGATGGCTGCCAGCAAACCCACAGGTGCCGTCTCTACAAAGGCCGACTCGTCCTGTAGAATAAAGGATCGTGATAAAACAGGGAGTGATTCGAAGACAAATCTGAAGTATCTTGATATCATGTTAGCCCCAGTAAGATAGAAGCGAGGAGTCTGGGGAAGGAGTCTCACAATCGTACTAGAGCAACCCCCATTGTGGAATCTACCAATTGTCGGACATGCTCTCGATCATGGTTCTGAGAGAGACACCTCTCTGTGAGTTCAATGGCAAGAGATGCAGTCTGCTCGTGGCTCTGAAGTAGGTGCACCGGCGTGCTATGGGAGTTCTCGTTTGGTATGCGCGATGACGAGATATCAGGTTTGCGGTACACCACGCGGAAAAACTTGAGTTCCCCAATGTCGTTATATGGGAAGTGCTGTAAGAAAAAAGGGTCAGACTCATTTGAGAAGCCAATCATCTGTGCTGAGTAGTCTGCTTGATCATCTATGGAGACGTGAGGGGGGCTGGAAGTACGGTGTGCGCGCGAGGACGGCTGTGGCGGGCCAGTAACGGGTATTTGTTCTTTGTGATTGAGCGTGGTATCGAATATTCCTAGTTCTCGAAAGCCATCTTCTGATAAAGAGTGAAAGGCTCCCTGTAGAGAGGTGGGGACGGGTTGCATGTTCCAGTTATCCTCTCGGCCAGTGGGCCACAGAGAATCGGCAAGTACGCTATCGAGGTGAGGGAGGTTCATTCCGGGCGAAAGCCCTGTCAAGCGAGTGGTTTCATCTACTAAGACGGTCAATAACAGAAATAATAGCGGAGAGACATTGCACAAACCGATCGATGTTGACATGTCCAAATACTGGTCCTGAAGAGGCATTTCAGCCGGTGCCGTGGCGTCTTCTGTCATGTCTTCGATAACAGAAGGACTGCTATCCATATCTTTATCATCATTGGTTGCAAGATCAGCAAGGCTGGGGACTGAGTTTCTTGGTTGTGGCGCACCGTTCTGTCCTTCCTTTTGTCTCTTGTTGGGGTTACGAACAAAAGTACATTGCCGGCCGAGCCGTGTGCAGAGCTGGCAGGGTTTTTCAGGGGATGGAATGTTGCACAAAGCCTTGCGGGCGCGACAAAGATCACAGGGCCGTTGAGATTTGGAGCGGTACCGTCGTGTGCCCGCGGGTGCAGGGAAGTTTCCTTCCCCTTGAAGGGTGCCACCAAAATTGCCCGTATCCATGGCGCATTGAAACAACCGCACCAGATGGAAGCATGAATGGCAACCAACCAAGGCGTATGTCCGGATGCGTCAGGTCGGCAGAAGAATCCCGGCACGAGATTTGTTGGGCTGCTTGTCCCCAGGTAAACTAAGGAAGTTGAAGCTCCAAGTGGGAAGCTTGCGGTTGATTTCTTGCGTTAATCCGGCGACTTATCGCGATGGGTCACGTGACGCGAATTGTTGAGAGCGCCTACTACTAATGTACTTGCGACTATCAATAAGTACCTGTATGTTATTACAGATAATTACCATTATATATAGGTTCAAGTAAATGATTAAAGCAGATTAATATCATGGAAGTTGAGTTCTCTCTGAAATATATATATACATCACTTATTCCGGGGGCGATACCGGCAAGTCACAGAAAAACAAGAAGCGAGATCACTTGGATATTAAGAGCTGGATTGAACTTAAATGCTAAGTTCAAAATCGGCAAACTTGGAACTACCTAGAGTAGAGAGAAAGGAGAGCAACAAGGGGGTAAACGGGTTACTGGGTATCGGCTCAAAGAGGTCAAGAAGGACACTGAGACCAACCAGAGAAGAGGAGACAAAAGGGGAATGTAAGCGCTTCGCCAGTATCAAATTATGCAGTTAGCTGCCGCTGTCAGCTTGCTTTTTAGCGCTGTCCAAGCGGTGCCAAGACTTTGAGTTGACCGCGGCATCCGCGAAGCCTGCAAGTACACATCGTTACCCCTGGGATTAGAGTAAATCTCACCCCAAGCTCAGTCTCATCTGACCTGGATCTGCTTCCGGGGAAACTTTTTACCCCTAATACTACCGCCACCTGGATTTATGATACGCAGACGAGCTTTTCAACATCCGGATTTCTCCACTGCCAAGACATCAACAACCAACTGCATGATAAGGAAGGGACGCCCGCCGCTTCTCTGTGTGCCGCCTGCTCTGTTTGGATGCTTCAACACTCCATTTGCCATGGCTCCTCGTGCTTCGACATTCCTTGTGAGCTTCACCTTTCCCGAACTGTCTTTGTCTTTGTTGCGATAAAATGGCTCTACGGCGACGATCGCGTGCTGTTCTGGCGATAGGCGCTGTTTTGATGATCTTAATCATCTTGCACTTTCCTGCACCTTCTCCGGTAATCGTGCCTTTTATTCCAGGGACCGTCGACTGGTCAAAATTTGAGCACTTCCATCCCGCCTCCTCGATCAAACCACTCCCGACCGACCGACCGCGACAATTGCCTCCAGTCCAGGCCGACCGAAGCCTCTTCAAACACTCCGAACTGATTGAGCAACGGCGTGCTGCCGTCAAAGATGAGTTTCTACGGAGCTACAATGCATACAAGGAAATTGCCTGGATGATGGATGAGTTGGCGCCCCTGTCCGGTACAGGGAAGACTACATTTGGCGGTTGGGCTGCCACGCTCGTCGACTCGCTTGATACATTGTGGATAATGGGTATGAAGAAAGAATTCCAAGAAGCCACAATTGCGATTTCTGCAATGGACTTCTCTGTTACCAAGGATGGCAGTATCAATGTTTTTGAGACCACGATCCGACACCTCGGTGGACTGCTGGGGGCCTATGATTTGAGCGGCGAGCCTACCCTTTTGCAAAAAGCAAAAGAAGTTGGGGAGATGCTATACGTTGCGTTTGACACGCCCAACCGGTTGCCAGGCTTCTGGTTGAACTTTGAGGACGCCCGCAACGGCCGTCAGGTTGCAGGCACGAACGACCCGTCGGCCTCGCCGGCGTCTCTGACATTGGAGATGACACGCTTGTCGCAGCTTACAGGGGACCCCAAGTTTTACGACGCCGCTGACCGGGTGATTCGTTTTCTCGACCGTGTCCAAAATGACACTCTGCTGTCTGGAATGTGGCCGCTGACAGTTAATTTCCAGGACGAGACGGCACAAGGCGACACTTTCTCTATCGGCGCATTGGCTGATTCATTGTACGAGTACCTGCCCAAGATGCATGCTTTACTTGGCGGGGTTGACCCCGTGTATGAGAGGCTATATCTCACTTCTGCGGATGTCGTCATTGATAATTTGCTGTACCGGCCCATGGTGCCTGACAATGCCGATGTTCTAATTGCTGGCGATGTACGGGTCAATAGCCAGGGCCAGAGTCTCAACCCTGATAGTCAACATTTGAGTTGCTTCGCGGGAGGAATGTTTGGTCTCGGCGGGCGTCTGACCGGAAACGACAGCCATGTGGAAGTTGGAAAAAAGTTAGCCCATGGCTGTGGATGGGCATACAATGCTTTCCCCACCGGAGTTATGCCCGAGATATATGGGATGATCCCGTGCGAATCAGCCGAGTCCTGCGAATGGGATGAGTCTAGGTGGGAGCCGGACGGCGAGTCTATTCCCAAAGGGTTCTCACATGCTCGCGACCCGCGTTATCTCCTGCGACCCGAGGCAATCGAAAGCATCTTCATCATGTATCGAATAACAGGGGATATAGGGTGGCAGGAGTTGGCCTGGAGGATGTTCCAATCTATCGTGAAGGTCTCGAGGACGGCATTGGCTAATGCGGCAATTGACGATGTGACCAATCCTGATTCCCCAAAGATCGACTCCATGGAGGTAAGCAGAGTAGCTGTCTCTTCGCCGTTATTTGTTAAGCGGAACTGACTTCGTGTTTTTGTAGAGCTTTTGGCTGGCTGAAACGCTCAAGTATTTCTATCTCATTTTCTCGCCTCCAGACCTCATCAGTTTGGATGAATATGTGTTTACTACGGAGGCACATCCGTTTATACGAGTGCGGTGATTATAAGTGGTGTTGCATTTCCTAGGATGCGGCGTTTTATAGAGTATTATCGTCATTCGTGTTTCTATAGAAAGAAAGACAATTGAAGTAGGGACAAACTACAAGGTGTTGTTATTGATTCTTTCCTCTAGCCCCATCACATCTGGAATACCCGATTCAAGATCACTTAACCACTTCAATAATCTCTTCATGTTTAAAGGATTATCATAGGTCCATATAGCAATGTAGAAGTCTCTCTGTCTTTGACTCTTGTTAAATACCTCCACCCAACGAGGCTGCAAAGCCCGCATAGTATCCATGAATAGAATTCGCAATTGATGGAGTTCATAGAACTCCAAGTGTTCCCAATAGAGTTCATTGACCTTCCCATTATCGTCGTGGTGGTAGGTACTCTTGACGGGCTTGGTTGAACGGTCTTTACCATCTATGAAGCCGGGGTACTGACAGGCCATGGACAGCGGGTAGGTGGATATCCATTCCCAGTCGACCACACCGGACAAGCTTCCGTCTGCGTTAACGAGAATATTATGCTTGTTCAGATCATGGTGCATGAGAACTGTCGGTTCCGGGCTCGTCTCAGGAAAGAAGCTGGCAATTTGGCCCCTCAATTTAGTAATGATCGTGAGTGACGTCTCAAGATCTTCGGGATCCTCCCCTTCCTCTTGCTTTTCCTCATCAACGGATTGCTCTTTTGTGGCACTCGCGATCTCAGCGGCGCGTGCTACCTCGAGGCGGTGCTTGCAGTCTGCCTCTGCTGCGTTGAGCTGAGCAGTGATCCAATCCCTGCATGAGGTAAAGGGGCCTCGTTGAACCTCGCTTTGAGGGCCTCTTACCAAAAATGCGAGGGATGTCGACTTTCCGATATGGGTGGTCTGCCCTTCAGAGGAGGGATGCTCATATAGGCTTCCGATAGTCTTCATTTGGTGGGAAAAGGTGTCTGAATAGAACTGGGCAATCTGGCGAATAACGCGCTCCTTGGCTGCAAAGTCCAACTCCCACCAAGCATCGCCCAGAGTCTTCCCTTTCACCTTCTCCATACAGATCCATTCAAATCCTATTTCATTTTTGCAATGAGATTCATAAGCGAGAATGTTTGGAACAGGGAGAGAAGTATGGCGTTGCACCCAATGCATCGTTGCTACTTCACTCTCCGTTTTTAACTCTGACAGAATTGGCATAGTGATACGGATCACAGCCTCTGAGTTGTTAGTGCCCACAGAGTAGAGCTTATTGAAAATACCCTTGGCCAAGAACTGGATAGAATCAGGGCATGGCCGCTGGAGAGCAAGTTGGGCTGTCTTCTGGATGGCGTTTTCATCAAGATTGGTGGTCCACCGCGGCTCGAGGCCCCAGAGGGTGGCTACCCACTTGAGACCGGACATTTCTGAACTGCTCATGGACGTTAAGGAAGATGTAAAGCAAAGCGGGAAGTATTTTAGAGGGAATTATCTAGGTCGGAAAGCTGAAGAAATCGAAAGCTGAAGAGTCTAATGGGAAGGGCCGTCTCAAGAAGGGTTTGGTGCCTGGTGTGCTTTTGTGCGCCAGTTCGGAGTGAGAGTGGTCCGATCCTAATGCCAGTCACATGACTGCTGCTTACGTCCAGAGAAATAATATTATTGAATGGCTAACGAAGCATCGATAACAGGATCTTCCCAAGTCTATTAAACTTGTCTATTAAAAAGAGTAATACTGACGTCTCGCTTCGATCGTAAACGCCTGACAGCGGCTACTCCCTACCAGTCTACCAACCAGTAGTTCTCTTTGTGCGCAACCAACTCATACGATAGTGGGCTCCATTCCCACCTGCATTTATAACCACGAATCTCCACTGATGCTGGCAAACTTATGCTGACAATTTACCAGGGATCGGGCAACAGCTACATGTATTGGGGGAACGGTCACGGCTAGCATAAACAAACATCAATGATATCTCCGGGAATTTATTAGACGACAATGGCGACTAACTAATAATCAGTTGCATGGAGCACGTTGGTCTATACTCAATTGAATGCAGGAGAATGCAGAGCATCGAAGGATACTATTTACATTTAAGCCAGCCCAACCTAGTCTAGGTCCGCGGTACTCTTCCTTGGGCTCGCGGCAGTCAGATAGAATCTGCCGTGCCGCCTGGTCCCCTCTTTATTCCAGGCAGATTTAACAGCGGCAGTAAGCGGTGAGGCCACCCGATGCCGACGAGCAGCAGCCTGAATTGCACTTGGCCGAGAGCACCCACTTCTTGGATGAGTTGCAGGTGAAGATCCAACTCCCGTCGCATCTGTACCTGCCCGGCGTGCAAGGTGTTGGGGCAGTGCTTTGACGTGGTGCAATGTTCATTACTTGGTCAGGGGCTTCAGCAACTGGTGTTGCCGAAACCAGTGTGAATGTGGCGAAAGCCGCGGAGAGGATGTTGTAGAATTGCATTTTTCTTGGTTTTGCGGAGGATTATATCTTGGGGGCTTGGAGGTTTTATAATGCCCTGAGATTGGAGTGATTTGGAGTTGAATGGTTCAAGGTCGAGAGAGGACTGCTCAGGTTGAGCGCTCAAGGACTGACTGACGCGGTCTTGTCTGGTGCTTTTATACTTCAGGAACACTGAACTCCCCTTGTTTAAAATCTGGAGGTCTCGAACCGAGCTTCTCAAATTAACGCAGTCTCCGACACTAGCGATCCAAAAGTACCCCGAAGTGAGGGCTCGAGGTCTCGGCAATGACATTGTTGCCTCATTATTGGCCGAGTTATGTGTCAGTCGGCATCTTGGTATGCATTGACAGGAGGAACTTTGGTTCGTATTCTTGACGGCCAGCGTTATTAGCCAGGGGAGCCAAAAGGAGCCAAGAGTTTGGATGGGGGATGCATGAGAGAGGATGGTTGGGGACTGAAGTGAGGATGGAAGAGAAGCAAATGTGTGAAATTAGGCAGCGAACCACAATAATCAAGAGACCCGCTGGCTAAGCAGGAAAGTTAGCGTTCAGTATTATAGATGTTGATTTGGTTGAGTTCTCTCACCATGGCTGCAAGGTGTGGCTACATGTAGCCTAATAGTGGAACCCTCAGCGCGCCAAGCGACAGACAGAAGGGGCGTTGAACCACGCACCTTCTGTTGACATGGCAAGAAACCTTCCTGCAGCCCAAAGCATCACCACCCAGAATTACTATTCTATCCGCGATCTTTTTTTCTCTCTTCAGTCTTATCTCAGCCATCATCAGAGTGCCAGGTGTATGTCGGACGCTCCATCTCCCTGTTTATCTCGTTGGTTTTGAGCCTTCCAGTGAACTGAACACATAATTTGCGCCAGAGAAGAACTCGTAGGTAATTATCATTTTCTTGTGGCCTTTTTTTTCATGTCCCCTTCGGCTAACAAAGCTTTTAAAATATTCCAGTAGATTGAACATCATGTCTGACGCAGGTTTTCTACTTCAATATCTGCCTGCACTAGAACGCTGGCTCTCCTGCCCACACCTCGTCGCCCGCCCCCCCCTTTCTCTCCCCGACTCCCTCTCCAACTCCCGCTCTAGCTGCTACCTCCTAGGCTGCTTCTAACGCTCCAATTCTTAGGTAACCAAACTGACTAGCCAGTCTAGCCTAGCCAGCCCGACGAGCCTGAGCCCGACGAACCAATCCTTTCTGTGGAGCCCACGGAATCGTCATGGTACAGAAACACGACCTTCAGCGAGGATGTAAGTTCAGAATCTGATCTATTCCTATACATGAAGAGAGGAAAATATGAGATCTAACTCTAGCGTCCAGTGGTCCACCCAGCGCAACGTGTTGAATGGAGAATAATCACGTTAAAATAACCCCGTCCCACTTCACCTGCAGAGGATGCGGGCGCATGCGCACTGCTTCACGCCACGGATTCTCGGTACGCTCTTGACGCCGCAATGTCTTGGATAGCCTCCAGAGAGGAGAGAAACTTAAAGCTGGTGTCTTCTCGGTTGATAAGGGAAGTGAGAGCACGGAAAATGGAAACGTCCTCCGGGATCACAGGAAGGACCATCGGGAACTGGTCGCCAGGCATCTTGACGACATTTTCTCCCGAACAGCTAAGGCTTAGTCGTCTCTCAATGAATCAACGGGTGTAGATATATGTCGTTCATGTCAAATAGCTGCTGTTTGGATCTTTGAACAACTGCCATCCATATGGCAACCGTCAACTTATTTGAGCCTTGTATCATCGATGGACTAAGATAGGAAGATAACCATGGGCTTATGTCTGCCGAAGATAACTTCCAATGGGTTAAAAACGCGAAGTAGAGACATAGTAGGCCATAGGCCTAGCGGCGGGCTCAGGACAGTTGAACCAAAAGAGCCAACGCCGACGCACTCCGCTTGACGCAAGGCATCGTCTTCCAAAGCATCTCATTTATTTAAACCAATCCCGAACAGGCAGTCATGATTCATAAACAAATAATTCCATTTGATTTGCGGATATGTACGCAGCTAGCCGCTTAGAGCTGATTGGGCTCTTGAATGTGCAGGTCATCTCTGCGCTGATTTTGCTGACCATCAGTTCCCGCATAAGGCACCTCATAAGGCGGCGAGCTTATGTGACTCTACTCGGGTCTATCGCAATGTGCAATAGCCCAAGTGGGTTTGACATACGTGGCACATGTTGATTAGGTAGCAATAGGCCATGGCAAGTGGCTGAAATAAAACACGGCACAGTGAAGCCCTTTTCATGTATCGTAGGGAGTGACCTAATTTACTTCTAAATAATACTCAACGTAATACTAAGACAATAGTAAATAATTCTATAATATCTAGCTTAATATTATGTTTATACTTAGGTCAATTGTTCTGATATTGTGGCGACATCCAACGCTGGAGGTTCTGGTCTATGTCAGTTTCTTGGGCAGATACAGAAGTACCTACTACCTAGGTAATACTTTGGTACATGTGCCAATCCTTCGAGTCCCCAAAACCTGGAGCCCAAAACCTGGAGCCCAAAACCTGGAGGGCCTAAAACCTTATGACCAGATTTTGGGCCCGCGACGAACGAAATCATCATAAGAACCCACCCGATTCACGACGACTCAAGGCAGTCCCAAAGGAAAAGCAACATAGAACGACTATTTTCGGCTGCTACTGCCCACTTTCGACTACCTCAACAACGTTAGTATGGCCTCCTCTAGCAAAGAAATCCCACTCGAAGTGTGGGAACGGCACAAGGACACCATCTTAGGCCTTCGATTCCATGAGGGACTGCCGCTTGATAGCGTCAAGACAAGCTCCAGAAATGTCGTGCAGGTCATGCGCGATGAACATCAGTTTGAAGCGACGTAAGCAAATCATGCCCCTCTTTGTGTCTTCCATTGCGAATAATTCTCATCCAGTAGATACTTGCTTTTACAGAGACTAATTGATAATCAGGACAGCTCAGTATGAAGCACAACTCAAGAAATGGAAAGCCGCCAAATACCTTAAGAGACAAGATTGGGAGGCGCTGCTCCCATTGTACAGTACTCTGGAACGGCAGGGCCTCAAACCGCGCGTAAGGCTCGGCGACCAAATCCTTGAGCAAAAGAGAATAGAGAAAGCACGCCGCCGATATCTCCCAGCAAAGAATAGAGTGCTTCATGAAAGCAATGGTCAGTCAATTCTTTGCAAAGTACTATGAGCTTAGCTAACGACGCGTTCGTCGTGCAGAGTTGCCAACTTCAGCACAGGGCCGTTTGTGGCGCCTAGAGGTCTGGCGACATGGCCAATTTTCAGAATATTCCGGTCAGGAAGGAGAGCCTAGTTCTGCAGATACACTACCCTCGGCTGTTTTTGGTCCTGGAGATGCGAATATGGACATAGAGGAGCTTCCCCTGCCGGACACTTTGGTACCAGCACAGAGTGACCCAATCTGGACCGCCAACCAGTTCGAAGCCAACACACCTAGCTCCCAGCTTACCATCTTTCACCCACCTTTATATTCACCTCAGCCGGACCCAGAGACATTGAGCCAGATGACTAGCTATTTCATGAGGCAGGGTATCTTGTCCGGTTCGCCGTTTGCTCATCTTGATGCGTCTGTTGCATTAAGTTCGAGAAATGAAACAGATGATTTAGTAGCACAATATGAGCCACAGTTGGTGTTGTCAGATGAGCATACACAGACAATGCTCCGATGCATATCTCAAGAACCGCCCTGTCTCGCTTCCGATACACTACTTCTACCAAATTACAAGGGGAGCAGTAGTATTTACAATTCTATACCGCCGCTGGTTGTATGTCAGAATGAGGCCCGATTTATCCTCTCCGGTGGAAATGTCAATATCATGATCCAAAGCATACTTCAAGAGCCTTCGGACAGTATATGCATGGACCTAGAGAATACCACTGTCCAGACCGTGTCTGAGCAGATTGAGTCGCTACTTCGCGATGGTTTCTTCGAAGGCGAATGTCCCGGAAAGTCAGGCGCAGTTTCTGGAACTATTTCAATGTCCGAAATCCACGGAAGGATTCTCCTCTCAATCGCCAATAATTTCTCGGGCCTAGAAGGCGTCCCGTGTGCTATTGTTCTAGGAATACTAAAGTCCTCGTCTCAGATGACAGTTGACGTTGTGAAATACCTTCAGTCAGGAATATTGAGTATTTCTAAGCCCCTGGCTGACAATTTGTTCCGTGCTGCCGTCGAAGCTGGCGATTATGACCTGGTCGACATGATTCTGAAAACCACCCATGGCCAAGCCAACGAGATCGACGTGAATGGGATTGTTTGCCAATTGCACGGCAAAACTTTTACCGCGCTTTCATTGGCGTCTTATTTGCACCAGCCTGCCATTGTCCGCATGCTCATTGATTATGGTGCCAAAGTTCATGTTCCTGGGCATCTGATCTCGAGCAGCTGCGCATTGACTTCACTTTACCAAGAATACTGGGCTAGATTGGAAAAGTCATCCCGTTGTCCTAAAAATGCAGCAAAGGCTACTGAAATCGCGAGGCTATTGCTGGACAGCGAACCCAATGCTGTTGTGAGATTGCTCGAAGACGATTTTTTTACCACGCCTTGCCAACTGCTCGAAGTATTAGTTCAAGCTGTGCCACCAGAGTACCATCACGAGCTATTCTCTCCACAAGAACTTGGACTATTACATAAAGCTTGTGGGCGTGGAGTATGGAGACTAGGTAGCATAGTGGAAAAAATGAGGCCACCGGCAGCAGCCAAGGTCATCAAAGGTCTTTTGGCAGAATGCAAGACCACGAAATGCGCACGAAGCTGTGTGGAGAAAAGTAGCAAGGATCTCAATTGCCTTCTCACTCTATCCATAACAGAGGGCAGCATTGACCTTGCCAAATACCTCCTGGAGCATACTCGGCCAACAATGGGGAACCTTTCGGCTGCCATTCGCGGCGGACAACAGAATATAGTGAGCTCTATGTTGGAACAAGGTGCTGATACGAATGGGGGAGCCGTATGCTTAAAGAACATGTCCCATCTATATGGCGATAGTCGTGAGTGCGGAGAGCCAACGACGCCGCTAGCCGAGGCTATAAGATCGCAAAACCGTGGTCTTGTTAGGTATCTGGAGGAGAACGGTGCACTGGATAGAATATCCAACCCGTCCTTGCCCGATCTAGAAGCAGCAGTTATCGCAACAGTGCAAGGAGGCAATTTGCCTTATCTCGAACAGCTTCTAGCACTAGTTCCACCCAATAACGAGCGAAATTTGGAAGGTGCTCTTGTAAAAGCAATAGAGCTAAGACATGTCAAAATCGTGGATAGGCTAATGGTGTATCTTGCTGCGGGCGACCACGGACACTTAAAGCATGAGTATGCAATATTACAAACGGCGATAGAGATACACGACGAAAGCCTAGTACACAAGACGATCAAGTATTTTGGAACGTCAACTGTGGACACCATAGCCATCGCGAAAGCTATTCGCTGGGGGGACATGAATATTGTTAAATTCTTGATTGAAATGAAACCGACTATGATACAGTTAGATGATCCTGAAATGACACTTGGAACTGCCATCGAAAACGGCAACGTCGAGTTGGCGACTCTCCTTCTAGATTGGGGTACTCATCCTAGTGGGCTTCAAAAAGCAATAGAGGTTGGTAGTTCTGATATGGCACGGCTCTTGTTGACATACAGCGCCGATCCAGCCGATGAGGACGCTTTCTCACTTGCTCTTCATGCCCCCAATACTTCTTTGCTCAACATCCTATCGGACGCTTTCGCCTTGAGCTATCCCAATGGAATTAAAGGGTTTGGCGGGAAGGCCCTAGTCGCAACATTTGACGCTCGTGATATCTCAACTCTGGAATTCTTGATTGGGTTAAACCTCGATGTAAACAGCACTGCGGCTCGGCCTGGTTCTAAATATGACTATACTACCATACTGCTGTACGCCATCGAATCCTGCGGGAAATATGACCCGGTAGGCAACGAAATGATCAGCCAGCTACTCAAGGCTGGTGCGTGGCGTGGCCGCCAGCCACTCCTCGTGGCTATCAAGTCTAACAACCTGCAGATAGTGAAGTTGCTGCTGGCTAACGGGTTCAATATCAACCAACCAACACTAGAGCGTCTAAGTCGCACGCCCCTGCAACAGGCATGCGAGATAGGCAACTTCCAAATGGTCGAGTATCTGGTTGATCAAGGTGCAGAAGTCAATGATTCCCCGGCAGTAAATGGTGGTGGAACTGCCCTTCAGCTTGCAGCTATCAGCGGGAATGTGAGAGTTGTTAGGCTTCTTCTGGACAAAGAAGCCGATATCCATGCTGATCCAGCGCCATTTCATGGACGAACAGCTCTCGAAGGGGCAGCGGAACATGGCCGGATCAGTGTCCTTAATATTTTGCTTGAAAAAGGTGCCAATGGATACAGTATGGATGCTATTGAAAAAGCAAAATCATTTGCAGAGAAGCAAAAGCAAAGGGGTTGTGAGGAGCGACTCAAACAAGCCCTGTTCAGAGCTGGTGCAGGGGTCCGAGGTTCCCTATGTCTTTGATAGGCTTTCTTTCCCTGGTATATATAATTTGCGGTGTGGGATATTGGAGGCATCAGCGTTCTTTAGTTTCGATTCAACACACTCGGTTAAGCAGCCTGTTCGATGAAACATAGTCAATAAAATGCAACCGTTCAGCTCAGCTGGGGTATGATTCGCACGACCAAATGTGGGACCCGGCAGCTTAGCTATCACCACCTTTTCCCCGCCTTCATGCCACATTTCCCATACAAATAGCTCGTTGGCTTTTGGCCATGGCATCGTCTCAAAGTCTCGCAACAACCATGGATCTATGGGTCGCCATCTTGACACCATGTTACGGTCGGGTCAAGGCTCTGGTCAGGCAAGGAGCTGACTTGACCGAGGCTGATCCACGAGGAGAGACACCACTCACGTTTGCTTCGCGATTAGCATCGCCCGACATGGTCAAGATTCTTCTCAAGGCGGGAGCTGACCCGGACTCTGACCCTAGCTTCCCACTCAACGCTGCCCTTGAGAATGGCAGGCTAGTGTCGGCCAAGGCGCTGCTTAAGGCAGGGGCCAATATCAATCGGGTTGATCCCTCGACCGGTACCCCGCTGATGTACGCGGTGCTCCAGAATCATATGCATATCGTCATGTTCCTTCTGCGGAACGGAGCTGACATCAACGCCACAAATGCAGATGGGAGAAGCGCTTTGCATGAGGCTGCGTCAGCGGGCCTACTCATTATGGTCGTGTTCTTGACAATACACGGGGCCGATTTGTAACTCACCTACTTTGTCTACTGCTTGAGGAAGTTTCCATTGCTAAACTGTACTAGATGCGCGACTGCTCCAATACGACACAACCCCAGCCACTATTCGGCTCCTTTTACTCCTCTCGCTCATGCAGCGCACTATGGCCACTTCGGGATAGTGACTTATCTGGTTGAGAGAATGGAGGCGAAGGGGGTCACCGCCGGCGACAGAGGCCTGGCTCTCTGCACCGCAGCTGGGAGCGGATTCGTGGATATCGTAAATCTGCTGCTAGAACACGGTTGGGATAAGATGGAACCACCCAGGGGATCGCCGCCATTGCTGTTCGCGATCGCTAAAAAGAAACGAGCTACCGTTGACATCCTCCTCCCCAAAGGTGCTGACATACACGCAACACTTGGCCCGGAAGAGAAGACGGCATTGCATCTTGCCGCCGCCTGGGGCGAAACTCGGCTCCTCAGAAATTTCATCCGCCAAGGAGCAAACGTGGACGCCAGAACCAAGATCAAAGGGAAAACGCCTCTACATGTAGCGTCGCAAAACCGGTACCCTGTGTACGGTTTGAAGGCAGCGAGAGCTCTGTTGAACGCGGGCGCAGATATAGCCAGTTGTACAAATGATGGTCGAAACATACTTCATCTAGCAGCCTCGGTCGGCAATGTACCGCTTCTCAGGAGAGCGCTGAGGCACGGCCTAGATCCTGATAGTAAGACGGGCCGGGGATTGACGCCGCTGGCTATTGCTGCAGAACATGGCCAGCTCAGATCCATTGATATACTTCTGAGGTTGGGTGCAAGCACTGACGCCAGATGCGACGAGAATTGCACTCCGCTTCATCTAGCAGCTGCTCAGGGGCAGTGGCGAGCGGTCGGCTTCCTCATCGAGAACGGTGCTGGCTTGGATCTTTTGAACTCCCGAGGCTATAGTCCTCTTCAAGAGGCAAGAGAAAACCTCCATAACGCTGCAGAGATAGTCCTTCTGCAGGCAGGGGCAGCAGAGAATCCTCTTCCGGAAAAGTCTTGAGGTATCACGGAAACAGTCAGCACCAGATAGCAGCGATGAAGCGGACGATGACATTCGGTATTATGGCAAATAAGAGATAACATAGCCAGTGTAAATAGTGTAACAAATTTCATACTCATAAAATGGGAAATAAAACGCAACTAAGAGTGAAATCCTTGCAGCTTGCTGAGTGGTTGGACGGTTAGGGCAGAGTTCTCGCGCTCGTTGCACCTCGCGTGGCAAGAACTAGAATCAATGTGGTGAATTAAGGGGAAACCGATCTGGATACGCATCATAGGGCTGCTTGCCTCACCGAGAATGGCGGTATAGAATATCATCTGTATAGGCTGGTACTCTGATCTTCTTAGCGTTTTCTACCAATAATTAACCAAATACTCGATAGTTGACCAAATACTCTGCAATACACATACAATAATTTGGCGTGACTATTTGCATTCTTTGCCCAGCTCATCCAGGGATATGGCGTGGTGGTGAGTCGTTTTTGGCTTTCCAAGGGTTTGAGAGAAGCTTTCTTGCATCGACACGAGCCTGTTAATTCATTCTGAGGTAAGTGATTCACTCCTTTGTGCGATATTCATATCAATAGAGTTTCATCAAGAAGCTAAAATACTAAAAGCTCATTATCTAGCGGACCGTTTAATTATTACTGTGCGGATCTGCCTCTAGAGTCTTGACCTGCAAGCTACGGTAATGGTGCATTATAGTGCTCACATCAGTGACTAACGACTAACGAGTTTCACGGGGTTGAACAATGATTTCTATGCTTACGGCGTCGATCCTAGTGCTTGCCTAATCCCACAAATCTCACCAGTAATAATACGCGATGTCATTGCCGGCTGGAGCCTAGAAAAGAGGACGTCTCATTATATTTAAGGCATGACTGAACCTGATTCTTCTCTTTCCATTTTCACTCACTTGCAACTCACAAAGATTCTCTTCCGTCCAAGAATTAAACCCCCCAGAGATTCGCAGACCCGTCAGACAAGATGGTCAAGGCACTTCCGCCTCCAAAGCCGGACATCCCGGAGCCTCCCCCAGGCATGGCGCTGTCCATCGCTCCAGCAGGCCACTGCCTCTGGCTCGACGACTACGAGTACTACGACCAGTTGGGCCGTGACCCCCTTCAGCAAGCAAGAATATGGCTCGTCGCCGACCCAGAAGAACGGGTCAGCAAGCTCAAGGAGATTCTGGAAAGCTACCCCAAATCAGTCCACAGACGCAACATGTTGTACGAAGCTGCCCTCCGCGGTGATGAGGCTTTGGTCCGATGCCTCGTTGCCACAGGACTGAAGGTGCACCCAGACATTTCACCACTTTCTGAAGAAGAGGAGAGGGCCGACGAGGAAGAAAAACAGAATGGGGAGATCCCAGATAGGGATGATCCATCAGTGGTGCCAGTTCACGCAGCGGCCGCCCGTGGCCATGTTGGATGCCTCAAGATCTTCCTGGAGGAGGGTAAAGTGGACGTGGATGTCCGCGACAGCATTGGGCGAACACCGCTAATTATAGGGGCACACGAGCCAAGTGTTGTACGATATCTACTTGAGCAGGGTGCTGATCCGACTGCGAAAACAAATGTGAATGATGACCTGCCCAAAGATGAACAGGACGAATATGCTGGTGCCGATGCGCTCGAGTTTGGAGCTGTCCACGGCAATATCGATAGTCTGAGACTGCTGCTGGAGCACCCCCTCAACGGCTCAAAAAGGAAGAGAAAGAGCCGCGCAGGAGAAGAGCCTGGAGTGTGGGTAACCCCGTTATCAATCAAAGGCGCTGCGTCAGCAAGGAACGGCTTTGAAGCGCTGAATTTTCTACTCCAAAGGGGCGGATATCCGACTGAGGCCCGGGACGGGCAGACAAAGTCCGAGCTGCTCACGGAGACGGAGAGGCAAGCCATCGTGGACGCCACGCCAGGGGCAGCGATGGATGGACCTCTAGAATCTCTCAAGCTGCTCCTCAGTTATCAATACCCAACTAGCCAGGACGGTGACATTCTTCCCTTCGACTTGCCAGAAGAACTTCACAAACCGTTCGTTTATGGTGCCTATGATGCTATGATAAACAACCGCCTCGACAAGTTCGAGTTTATCAATGGTTTTGGCATCACAGAGCATGAGACAATGTCCCTTGATCAACTTCCCGCAGGACAGAAACTCAACATTCAGCATCTTCTTGACAGAGCCGTCGGAGGTGGATCTATTGAGTGTGCGCGTTTCATAATCGAGAAATACGGCGCCGACCCCAACAAGCATCGCAACCCTCCTGGGGTGAAGCCTCTTTACGCCGCTGCGGGGAACAACAAGCATGAGATGGTTCGGCTCCTCATTGAAAGTTATGGCGCAGACATCCACCTCGGCAGCGGGAGGTATGCAACCGGACCGACTGCCCTATGGAATGCAATCATGCTGAAGTCCTTTGAGACCGTGGAATGTCTCCTCTTGCAAGGCGGTCCAGTGGATCATGTCGATGAGGAGATACGCTCAATTTCCGGTCCCATGACGGTCATCTTAAGAGCTGATACCGGTAACGACAAGGTCTCCGTGAGACTTGAGACACAAGAAAATACAAAGGAATACCTGGCTCGCCATAAAGGCGATTGGCAGAATCTTAATCCTCCGTTTGTACAGCTCCAACTTGGGTCCGATGACAAGGGGTGGATTGGTAGTCTCCAAGCTCGGAGGTCGGAAAACGAGTTGCGAGAGTCCGGGGACAATGCCCGAGAGTTCAATAAAGACGAGCGAGTCAGTACGAAAGACCTTGGTCAGAGGGACCCGCGTAACCTAATGGTGTGGCTTCCCACAATTGGTGCTAGGCAAAGTGAGCTGAAGAAAGACGATGATCTTCTGCCAGAGTTCCAACCATTTATGGTGGCAGCGAAGCAGAATGATTCCGATTAGCATCCCTAAATTGGGGTTATATCACACTACTATAACAACCGCTTATTCTAGGTTTCGTTGAATTATAAGATCAATTATATGCTCAAGCAAGCAAGAAGATTCGCAATGAAAAATCGGCGTCAATTGTACTCGACAACTAATGGCTTAAGGCAGTTGCTAACATACGAAGCCAGAATCAAAACGGATTCGAAACTATGACGGGCATTCTCCCAGTATACCCTGGCCTTCATACGGGTGAATCAACCCCCGCTTCACATCCAAGCTTCGCCGTATTACAAAACAGATGCAGATTGTCACTGCTGTCGCCGATCCAAAGTTTGTACCCACTGTCCAGTCCCGGAACAACCCAGGTCTGCTCCTTCACGTCCCAAACGCTCACGTCGCGGCGTTTGATTGTGAATTCAAGCTTTTCACTTCCTCCTGGCTGCAGAGTTGCGGTCTTTTCGAAATCTCGAAGTTGAATGACCGGTGTGTCATAGCCGTTCCCATCTGGGAACTGGACATACACTTGGCCGACCGCCTTTCCTGCCTTGCTACCAGTGTTGGCGATGGTAACGGACAAGGTCCATGCCGTGTCCCAAAGCGCCGGGTTTCCTCCATTTGGCCCGCCAGCTGCTGGTCCAGCTTTCTGTTCGCTGCTGTATCCATCTGGATAAGGATACTTTGACGTACCCTCTTTGCCGATCTTGTAGGCACTATCGGCGTCTCCAGTCGAGACCCAGCTGTATAGGTAACGCCAAACCGTGGAAAAGCCGCTGGGCTGGTAAACCTCAGATGCTGCAGGAATGGTGCGGTTCATTGACGATATTGGGGTCGAGGCCTTCGGAGATCTCGCTGGAAGGCCGCGACTGAGCTTCGTTACTGATGTGATTGTCGGTTTGGAAAACTCAAACGTTGTGTAGCTGAGGCCGTATCCAAAAGCATAGCGAGGCTTGGTGTTGTTTTTGTTGAAGAAGCGATAGTCGATATAGAGGTCCTCTAAGTAGGTATCCTGGACACCTGCACCTTCTACAATATCCAATGATTCGGGGTACTGGTCCTCAGAAACAGGAATGGTGTAGGGCAAGTGGCCACTGGGTGAAACCTCACCGAACAGGACTTCGGTCAGCGAGTCTCCAGCCTCCTGGCCCGGAAGATGGGCGACCAAAACCGCTTTGACGGAAGGCAGGTTGACCCAGGGCTCCATTATAACTGGGCCGACAGTGTGATAGACCACTACTACACTCTTGTAGGCAGCCGCAGCCTTCTTGACCAACTCGTCACCGTTGTGCCATGCAACCAATCCGGTGGCATCTCTGTCTCCGTGGTTGCCCTCCACTGTGAGCGAGTTTTCCCCAGAATCTGAATTGATAAATACGAGGGCAATCTCATTATCCCCAGGTGTGCTGATGCTCGGGAACGTGTCACTGGCATAATACGTAACCTTCGCTGCTTTTTTACGAATAGAGGTGATGGGGTCATCAAGGTATGGCAAAGTCGCACTACCAGATCCCCAACCCATCGTGAGCGTTCCTCCATTGCAAGACTTATCAAGGCAATTATTTATTCCACTGGGGTCTGCCTGTGCATCGGTCCCAAATACACTGAACTGGCCGGAGGTACTCAGCGGCAGGAAGGAATTGTTGTTCTTAACAAGGGTAATTGCTTCCTGCGCAACCTGCTTCGCAATTGTCTTGTGGTTTCCCTGGACATTGACGAACTCGTTGACCAAGCCGCTTGGACTGAATAACGCGCCAGGATATAACGCTCCCTCTTCGGTACTGACCCAAGCATGGAAGTTTGGTTTTGGATAGTTTTGGTCCTGGCCAAACTGAAACCAGGTCGCGACGATCCGAGTGCACATGTCGTTGAGGCGATCAACAGGCACAGAGCCGTTTAAAACAGACTTCGAAAGCTCACCCATCCAGTGACTATATCCCACCAGAGGGATAGAGTTGGTAAATGTGTCTCCTGGGAGGGACATGTCCAGGCCTGCCAGGGCAGAGGCGACTCCAGCATAGTGAGAGAGCCAGTCAGTCATGACGAAGCCTTGGAATCCAAGCTCATCTTTGAGAAGACCATTGATAATCATGCTATTTTGCGAGGCAGATGAGCCATTGACCTATAGAAAAAGTCAGATACGTTTCAATCATTTCTGTCTCATGGAGCCATACATCATTATAAGCGGTCATTGCAGAACCAACGCCGGCATGGACAGCATCAGCAAAGGGCCAGAGATAAAGCTCGTGCATAGCCCGATCACCTATTAAATTGAGATTAGCCTTCTCGCCTCCGGGAGTTCGTAGTTAGTGGGATCCTCACCAATGTTTGCGCTGTACGCTTTCTGCCAGAATGAGGCTCGGTACATTTCTTGCTCGTTGCCAATAAGGTGCTTGATGGTCGCAATGACACCTTGCTCTTGAACGCCTCGGATAGTCTCGGCTCCTGCAATGCCCTGAAGCACAGGGTCTGAGCCGAAGCCTTCCCAGTTTCTGCCGCCTCTTGGCTTCCTGCCAATGGGTCCTACCGAGGGACCCAGATAGACATTCGCGCCCTTGCCGCGGAATTCTTCGCCCATTGCCACGCCTCTTTCATACATGAGCTGCTTGTCGAACGTGGCGCCGGTGGTGATGCCGGCGGGGAAAGCAGTGATGTTTCCGGTTGTTCGGACACCAAGTGGCCCGTCTTGAAAGCAGAGCTGAGGGAAACCGACACGCTCGGCGCTTCCAGTGTTGGCCACACATCGGCTTAGACTAAGTCAGAAATGCATTCCAAGTTTTGAATTAGTTGTATAGAACTCACCCTGATTTTGAAGTTAGCGTATACGGTGCAAATCAAGTTGAGCTGGATATGATTCACTTACCCATGTACATGCCTGTTCCAGCCGTAATGTTGACTTTCTCAGCGAGCGTCATAGCCCCTACCAAAGTGACAGCACGAGTGTAGCTGTCACTCCAGGTTGGAGCCCACCCACCATACGGGGCGGGATAGTAAGGAGGCGACAGATTTGAAGCTGTTTGACCCATTGCGAAGATTGCTAACACCGTGAACAAGAGAAACAGTCGAAGTGCCAGACGCTGGCAGACCACGAGGGTTTTCATATTGTGTCCCCGTAAGGTGAAAGGCAGAATCCTCTCCTCACTTCTGCGCAACGAAAGGTCCAATGTGCTTTAAAATAGGAAGCATACCGCTCCTTCTCCGCAATATGCAGAAAGACAGCTGACCATAACTTGATCAACTGCCCGTACGAGCGGGGCAATTCCGGTCTCTTCATTGTCCATGGCGAATAGCAGCGGCCCTTTGCCATTGGATCGTCACTGCAAGTCGGGCACAATTGTAATAACAATCTCGGTTGGATAATTTTATTGGTTTATCCACATGACATCCAGTGTCCTCGTGTCCCCATGCATCTCCGGCGCCAAGCCTCAACTAGGCTGATAGAGAGGGCGCAAGTAACCCACGCCGGTCACCATTTCGAGGGGAGCGGGATCTTTTCTCGTTATGGAAATTGACTGGCAGGGTACATAAAAATGTGGCCAGCTGAGATAGCCGGCCTATGGGGATCGAGGATGAACTGCTCATCGAGCGCTGAGGTTGCATCGAGCCCCCACCGCTCAGGCGTTGCACCCTTGTCTGCGTCGTTTGGGTTGCACTTTGGGAATAGAGAGCTACCTGAGGAGATCTGGGCTCCGTTTGGACTGTCGGCAAAACAGGTTACGTTTCCTTGGTACTGCAGGCAGAACGCCATACGGATCAAACTACCACCACACCAAGGCTACCACTCATCGTTCGAAAGCCACCGAGTCAGACCTGCTTCTTTCATCACGGAGCAGTCTTTTTGTGGCAAGAGGGAGATAACACACTTCTTGAGACGTCAAAAGAATTCCTACAAACTATCGTTTATAGGAGCTTTATCTATGACGATAATTTGCCGGTGACCACCAGCAAGGTGGAAGGTGTTGAAGAGGAGAAGATTGGAATTTTGAGAACATCACAAGCCAGCACTCCCCACCGCGACTTCTTTTAGGCCCATTTCATCTTAAATAGACATGTCTCCGAAATTATCTGACGATCGAAGTAGCTATTGGATACCTTCTCCACTAGAAAGACGTATCCATTCCAATCACGATGATGCTCCAATCTAACTAAAGACCCGCAATGATTCCCAACGATGAACTGATTCAGGAGGAGGATGTATTTATGCGGTGTAAGCCTGGAAAAAGAGATGCAAAGGAAGAAATAAATAACTCGGATAAAAACTCACTCCGCTCTATTTCATTAATTTCCTAATCTTGGCTCCCTTTTGATTCGTTTCGGCGTATTTGCACGTCGAATCACGACTGTTGATTTTATCGCTACCTCTTTGCTGCTTTACTTATTAATCCGACGTGAACCGGACCAAATTCAGGATTTTTATCAGGGCGCATTTAAACCTGAGTCGTTGTTTACAACTTGGATCAGGAATAAAATCCCTTTTATTTTGAACTACCGTAACGCTGCCAGAGGGTGATGAGAGATAAAAAAGAGAGCTGGTCCTCCAAATACTTTGCTCTGCGGCAGATGGAAGAGCTGGTATTATATGTTTAATATTTATTGTAGAGAATTCTACTAATAGAGATATCTGAGTTATACCTAGTTTGACATTACTTATAAACGAACCGGAATACAAGGCTATTCCTCACCTGGTCTGTTTCTAAACCCTGCTTGAAAAAGAATCTAGAAGTTTCATCTTGATTTATCTTACTTAGCTAATAAAACCAACAGGAGTTCCTCAACAGCCATAGGAACAAATGAACTTCAAAATCCATTCAAAAACAATAAATGATCTATTCACCTAGATTAAGAATCCTGAAATCTGGAGTAATATCAAGGAGAGTTATATCCAGCTCATGGATGGACCAGGTCTTGGAATTGAAGTTATCATAAAATATACCAAAGGTGTTTCGAAGTTAGCATCGTTGGAGGGTTGATGAAGAAGAAAGACTAGATATGAGTGGATGCCCAAATAGCTACCAGGAATA